AACCAGGCCTGAGTCCCAAACCCAGGAGGCCCTCCTGACGGCTGTGAAAGACTAAGCCTTGGGCCTCGCCACCCAGGGCCACACACACTCAGTTCTCACAGCCCAGTGAAGACAGATGCCACACCAAGTCCAGACAGAAATGCCACCTGCCCTCAGGGCTCAGCTGGGACCACCTCCTTCAGGAAGCCCGCTCAGGCTTCCCCAGCCAAAAGGGACCACACCGACCCAGAAATCCCAGAGCCACTGGGCAGAGGCTCCAGACCAGTACTGTCCAATAGAAATATAATGCAGTCCACCCTGGGTCGCAAAGAGTCAGACACAACTTAGCGACTAAATGACAACATATACAGTGGCTACATTTAAAATAGTTCTTTCAAAAAATAGATCAATTTTAATAATGTGCTTCATTTAATCCAATATTTCCAAAGTATTGAAACAGAGCAGGACTCTCTGATCCCTGCCCCACCTCTACCATATCTTTCGCCTGTGGAAAACTTAGGTCAAAGAATAAGTTTAATCAGAGAAGTGAGAGATGCTGAAACAAAGGAAAACAGTCTAAGGAGATTAGTAACAACAGTGTCATCATTAAGCATAGTCAAGGAACTTTAGTTCTTTCTCAAGGGCTATAGATAATATTCTGAGCCATATCCTGTGAGCTGCCTTATAGATACCAAAACACCAGGTGGAGAAGTTAGCTGCATGATGACCAGACAGTACCCTGGACATGAGCTGCCACAATTCTGAGAACTGACCGCAGAGAAATGGGAACAAGTGCACCCAAGAACTGAAGATTAACTGTACCTGAAACAACCAAGATGATGCTAGTCAGACCACTGGTGACCAGTTGAAGATGACTGTTAGAGATGACTGTGCTGTTTCTGCATGTAACCTCCCCCCAACTCTGTCTAAGCTTTCACCCTCTGCTTGTTCGGGGCAAGGTGGGGTGGGAGTCGGCTTTTGGACAGATGTCTGCCACCCTCCCCTGCAGTTGCCGGCATCTGAAATAAAGCAAACTTTCCTTTCCACTAATCTGGCCTGCTTATTGGCTTTTGAGCTGCGAGCAGCCAGACCCTCCAGACACATACCTTTCGGTAACAGTATTATCTCTGCATGTAAATAATATTTAAAATATATCAGCTATTTTATATTCCTTTTTTTTTTTTTCCAACTAAGTCTTCAAAATCAAGCTTGTATTTGGGAATTCCCTGGCAGTCCAATGGTTAGGATTCAGTGTTTTCACTGTTGAGGGTCCAAGTTCAATCCCTGGTCAGGGAACTATGACTCTGCAACTTTTTATCCAGAGTTATCTCCCAGCTGAGGGCCTGGACCCACAGCCTTCTGACCCAGCACAGAACAGGCACTTCATAGATCATAGCCTTGTCATGGCAAAGGGGCTTGTGTAACTCAATGAAGCTATGAGCCACCCAAGACAGACAGGTCAAAGCAGAGAGTTCTAACAAAACATGATGGAGGAGGGAATGGCAAACCATTCCAGTATACTAGCCATGAGAACCTCATGAACTGTATAAAAAAGCAAAAAGATATGAGACCAAAAGATGAGCCTCCCAGGTCAGAAGGTCCAATATGCTACTGGGGAAGAACAGAGGACAACTACTAATAGCTCCAGAAAGAATGAAGCAGCTGGACCAAAGCAGAAATGATGCTTAGCTCTGGATGTGTCTGGTGATGAAAGTAAAGTCCAATGCTATAAAGAGCAACATTGCATAGGAACCTGGAATGTCAGGTCCATAAATACATAAATTGGACATGGTCAAGCAAGAGATGGCAAGAGTAAACATCGACATCTTAGGAATCAGTGAGCTCAAATGGATGGGAATGGATAAATTTAATTCAGATGACCATTGTATCTATACTGTGGGCAAGAATCCCATAGAAGAAATGGAGTAGCCTCTATTAACAAGAGTCTGAAATGCAGTACTTGGGTGCAACCTTAAAAATGACAGAATTATCTTGGTTTGTTTCCAAGGCAAACCATTCGCCATCACAGTAATCCAAGTCTATGCTCCAAACACCAATGCCAAAGAAGCTAATCAGTTCCATGAAGATCTAGAAGATCTCCTAGAACTAACACCAAGAAATGATGTCCTATTCATGATAGGGGATTGGAATGCAAAAGTAGAAGTCAAGAGATACTGGAGTAACAGGCAAGTTTGGCCTTGGAGTACAAAATGAAGCAGGACAAAGGCTAATAGAATTCTGCCAGGAGAATGCACTAGTCATAGCAAACACCCTTTTTCAACAATACAGGAGATGACTTTACACATGGATATCACCAAATGTCAATGTCAAAATCAGATTGTTTATATTCTTTGTAGCTGAAGATGGAGAAACTCTACAGAGTCAGCAAAACAATACCTGGAGCTGACTGTGGCTCAGGTCATCAGTTCCTCATAGCAAAATGAGGACCATAACTTTCTTTCTTAAACTAAAGAAAGTGGGGAATACCACTAAGCCAGTCAGGTACAACTTAAATCAAATCCCCTATGAATATACAGTGGAGGTGATGAATAGATTCAAGGGATTAGATCTGGTAAATAAAGTGCTTAAAGAACTATGGACAGAGGTCTGTAGTACTGTACAGGAGACAATGAACAAAATCATTCCAAAGAAAAAGAAATGCAAGAAGGCAAAGTGGTTGTCTAAGGAGGCTTACAAATAGCTGAGGAAAGAAGAGAAACAAAAAGCAAGGGAGAAAGGGAAAGGTACACCCAACTAAATGCAGAGTTCCAGAGAATAGCAAGGAAAGACAAGACGGCCTTCTTCAGTGAACAGTGCAAAGAAATAGAGGCAACAATAGAAAGGGTAAGACTAAAGTTATCTTCAAGAAAATTGGAAATATCAAAAGAAAATTTCACCCAAGACTGGCACAATAAAGGAGAGACACGGTAAAGACCCAATAGAAGCAGAAGAGATCAAGAAGAGGTGGAAAGAATACACAGAAGAACTGTACAAAAAAAAATCTTAATGACCCGGATAACCACGATAGTGTTGTCTCTCACTCAGAGTCAGACATTCTGGAGCATAAAGTCAAGTGGGCCTTAGGAAGCACTGCTGCCAATAAAGCTAGTGGAAGTGATGGAATTCCAGCAGAGCTATTTAAAATCCTGTAAGATGATGCTGTTAAAAGTGCTGCACTCAATATGCCAAGCAAATTTGGAAAACTCAGCAGTGGCCACGGGACTGGAAAAGGTCAATCCTTATCCAAATTCCCAAGAAGGGCAGTACTAAATAATGTTCAAACCACCAGACAGTTTCACTCATCTCCCATGCTGGTAAGGTTATGTTCAAAATCCTCCAAGCTAGGCTTCAGCATTATGTGAACCGAGAATGTCCAGATGTTCAAGCTGGATTTAGAAAAGGCAGAGGAACCAGAGATCAAATTGTCAACATTTGCTGGATCATAGAGAAAGCAAAGGAATTCCAGATCATTGACTACACTAAAGCCTTTGACTGTACGGATCATAACAAACTGTGGAAAACTGTTGAAGAGATGGGAATACCAGACCATCTTACCTGTCTCCTGAAAAACCTGTATACAGGTCAAGAAGCAAGAGTTAGAACCCTGTACAGAACAACTGACTGGTTCAGGATTGAAAAAGGAGTATGGCAAAGCTGTTTATTGTCACTCTGTTTATTTATACACAGCACATCATGAAAAATGCAAGGCTGGATGAGTGACAAGCTGGAATCAAGATTGCCAGGAGAAATACCAACAACCTTAGATATGTGGATGATACCACTCTAATGGCAGAAAATGAAGAGGAACTAAAGAGCCTCTTGATGAGGGTAAAGGAAGAGAGTAAAAAAAAGTCGGCTTAAAACTCAATATTAAAAAAACTAATTTCGTGGCATCTGGTCCAATTACTTCATGGCAAATAGAAGGGGGAAAGGTAGAAGCAGTGACAGATTTCCTCTTCTTGGGCTCTAAAATCACTGCGGATGGTGACTGCAGCTATGAAATTAGAAGACGATTGCTTCTTGGCAAGAAAGCTATGAAAAACCCAGACAGTGTGTTAAAAAGCAAAGACATCACTTTGCCAACTAAGGTCCGTATAATCAAGGCTATAGTCTTTTCAGGAGTCATGTACAGATGTGAGAGCTGGACAATAAAGAAGGCAGAGTGCCAACAAACTGATGTGGTGTTGGAGAAGACTCTTGAGAGTCCCTGGGACTGCAAGTTGATCAAACCAGTCAATCCTAAAGGAAATCAACCCTGAATATTCATAGGAAGGACTGATGCTGAAGCTGAAGCCCCAGTACTTTGGCCACCTGACACGAACAGCTGATTCACTGGAAAAGACCCTGATGATGGGAAAGACTGAAGTCAGGAGGAGAAGAGGGCAACAGAGGATGAGATGGTTGGATAGCATCATCAATTCAATGGACATGAACTTGGCCAAAGTGCGAGACATGTTGAGGGACAGGGAAGCCTGGCATGCTGCAGTCCATGGGATCATGAAGGGTTAGACACAACTTGTAGACTGAACAACAAAATCTCTCAGCTGAGGGCCTGGACCCACAGCCTTCTAACCTGGCACAGAACAGGCACCCAGCGCACAAATGAAGGAAGGTCACATGGACAGAGGATGAACAGACGGTGTTGGCTGAAAGCCACTGAACCAGTGAATGAAAGTGCAAGGAGCCAGCACATCCCCAGCTCACCTGATGCTTCCGTTCAGCCTCCTCCTTGGCCTTCTTGGCGCTCATCTCCTTCCGGAGCTTCTCCTCCTCTGCCAGCCGCATTTTCTCAGCCTCCAGGCGCCGCAGGTACTGGGGGAGGGGGGCGGCAGGGGGGGCACCATACCATGTGTGTAGCTGTCACAGTGCTCCCTGCCAGCTTGACCCCACCCCACCCCCTTCGAGTTCCAGGACTGGGGATGATTTTGCCAAATAATTTGGCAGAGGGAAACTGAGGCACGCGAGAAACCCTCCAGGTCCCACAGCAGATTGAGGGCACCTTTGATCCCAAAGCCAAAGCAGGCTCACCTTGGCCTCCCAAAGACTCACAAGAGGGACTGGGCCCCCGCCCTACCCCTGGCTGGGAGGAGGGAAATGAGGGTCCAGTCTTGTGCATCCTTCAGAGGGAGAGCCCTTCACCACCAACCCCCCCAACAACACAGGATAATTTGTCTGCCTGAGGTGGAGCGGCACCCCTCGGAGGACCTGAGAGCCAGGGGTTCTCACCTCGGCCCTGAGGCGCCGGTGCAGCCTGCGGGCGATCATGCCCCGGGCGTAGGCCTGCACAGTGATCACGGCCCAGAGGCGGTGGCGGAAGGCCTTGCGCACCAGGTAGGCCCGGCAGCGGGCCTGGAACCCGATGATGCGCCGGCGGGCCAGGCAGTACTGCTGGTGCAGCTTTCGGGAGCGGTGCAGAGCCTGCAGCCGCAGGAAGCCCAGCCGCATCTGCAAGGACAGCCACCAGTCAGAACCACAGCCCTGATGCCAGACCAGCCCTGCCCACGGAGGTCACTGCCCTGGCTCCACTCGCCAACACACAAGCCCTAAAGGCACAGCTGGTTCCACTCAGGCCAAAGTTCCCCAGGGAGTGGGCTTGGCTTCCCCCTGAGGTGGGTCTCCCCAGCAGGGACACCATCCTCAGACCAGGAGCCAACCTCCTTCCTGTCTGCCTCTCCAGCCCCAAGTCCAGGCTGCAGCCCAGTTCCTTCCCAGAGGTCTATGTGACACACCCATTCCTGGACCCCTGTAAGGTGTTCAGTTCAACAGCCTGAGGCTCACAACCCACCAGGACATTCCAGAAGAAAAGCAGAAACATTGCTGACCAGCAGGGAAGAACCACAAGAACCAGATTTGGACTTTGGGCTGGAGGAATGGTAGTGGCTGGTGGGGGCGGGGGCAGGGGGCGGGAGGCCAGCCAGGCCCCGCACACAGGTAAGTCCTGTTGCTATGACAACAGAACCAGGTTCAAAGGCCTTGCAGGTCACCAAGCAGCTCCCTCAGGAGGCTCACCAGCCCATAGTTCCTCCTGCAGTTGTGGCCCCTCCAGTGCCTCTGGATCAGTGTGGCAGCATTCTTCAGCTTCAGGAAGTTGGACCTGAAACAGCAGCATGATGCAGGAGGATGTCTGTAGGGGTCTGGGTGGGGTTTGGAATCAGGAGAGCAGGGCTGAGTCCCAGCTCTGTGTCTCCTTGGCTCCATGACCTTAGGCAAAGGCATATAACCTCTTTGTGCCTCAGTTTCCTCATCTGTAAAATGGGCAGAATAATACCTGTCCTGCCTGCCTCACAGACTTGTCACATAAACTCAATAAGGTAGGCATCCAGAAGGTTATTAGTGAATAAATGTAGGACTTCCCTGGTGGCTCAGATGGTCAAGAATCCGCCTGCCACGTAGGAGACCTGGGTTCAATCCCTGGATCAGGAAGACCCCCTGGAAAAGGAAATGGCAACTCACTCCAGTATTCATACCTGGAAAATCCCAAGGACAGAGGAGCCTGGTGGGCGACAGTCCATGGGGTCACAAAGAGCTGGACACGACTTAGTGACTAAACAACAAACAGTAAATAAGATAAGGATTAAACACTTAGAACACTGAAAGTGAAGTCTCTCAGTCGTGTCCGACTCTTTGTGACCCCCTGGACTGTCGCCTACCAGGCTCCTCCATCCATGGGATTTTGCAGGCAAGAGTACTGGAGTGGGTTGCCATTTCCTTCTCCAGGAGATCTCCCCGACCTAGGGACTGAACCCGGGTCTCCCTCATTGTAGGCAGACGCTTTACCATCTGAGCCACCAGGAAGTCCTGGAACAATGTAAACTTCGCTTATTACTGATTGTCTAACTCCCTCATTTTATATGCGAGGAAACTGAGACTCAATGTGGTTGGGGCTAGAGCCCTGGTCTTCTGACAGCACCATGCTGTTCCCCTGCGCACACTAGGCCACTGCTACAGGCGGACAGTCATCTTTGACCTCGTGGAGGACAAGAGGTCACATATCAAACAGCAGGTGTCTCCTGAACAGAGAAATAAGAGGAGGACTGAAGGATGGCTACCTCAATGTGGGTGAGTCTGTGAACCAATGCCTGGATGCTCACACAAATGAGGGTACAGCCATGGAAAAGGATGGACAGGTGGATGGACAAACAGGTGGATGGGTGGACCAAGGATGGCTGGACAGGTGGGTGGATGGGAAGAGGAAGGGGGTGGCCATATGAACTAAAAAAGGGGCAGGAAGTGTGGTTTTTGTGGAGCCTGAATCACAGAGTCAGCCCCGCCCAACTGGGAGGTGACACAACTGTACACATGTCCTTCACATGGAATACGGGACCCACTTTGTAATTTACATGTAATTTACACGGAATACGGGACCCACTTTGTGATTTACATGTAATTTACACGGAATACAGGACCCGCTTTGTAATTTACATGTATTTTACATGGAATACGGGACACACTGTAGTTTACAAATCTCATAGCATCCACGTGTGTGTCTCACGAGCCCACGTGTGCAGGCATGTGTTGCTGGGCATGGGGGATATAGATGGGTCTGTGTGTCTTAGTGTTCATCCATGTTCACATGATCCTCTGTGTATGCCTTGCACATGAGTGCATGTTTCTGTGTATGCACGTGGGTGTTTATCCCCTGTGTCCGCATGGGAGGAACTGCAGTGAGCCATGCACATGCACACATGTGCATGCATGCACACACACACATCGCAGAGGCAGGGAAGAGCCCATCCAGACACAAACCTGTCTTTGAAGCCCCGGATGACCTTCTGGAGGAGGATGACTCTGTCGGTGATGGCCTTGTCCCGCTCCACCTCCAGCAGCATGTCATGGTGGTCCTGGAGGGCAGAGCCTCCTGAGCAGAGCCCCCACCAACCCCTCCAGTCCCAGAGCAGAGGCTGCCCCAGGTGGGCCCCTCTTCCTTCACTTAGGGCTCTGGTCTAGGGCTCAGTTGGGCCCTAATGGCTTCCAGCCCTTCTCTGGCCCCGTGGGGCGGCCTTCCTCAACCCCAAGTACAGACAGGTACTGTCATGGCTGGTTCCCAGAGGCCTGGGTGGGACACATGGAGCAGGAGGGGCCCAACACGCACACACACTGACTCCATCCCAGTGGCCATCTCTACCCTGAGACCTGGCTGTTCTAGGTGTTTCTGTCATATCAGCCACTGACCTGGGCCAGGCCACCATCATTTCTCTCCTGGATCTTAAAAACAGTTTCCTGGCCTCTATCACACCCTCTCTGATGCCCCTCAAGAGGGATCTTACAGCAATACCCCAGGTTTCCCAGGGTCAAGTCAGGTCTTCTTCCCCGGCACCTGGGCCCTCCACCATCAGGCCCTGCCCTCTTCTCCAACCCTCTCTCCTTCTCACCGCCAAGTCCCCAACCCTCACTCCAGTTGGACAAAACTTCATGGTTCATTCAATACATGAATCAAACATCTCCAGCTGCCCACCCTGTGCTAGGTGATGGATGGGGCTGCAGTGAACTAGGCAAACCTGGGCCCTGCCCTAGGGAGGGTGAGTCTGGAAGGGGACTCAGATAATCAGATAATCCATCAGATAATCACACCTATCAAGATAATCACAGGTCACATCACTTGGGGACAGGGCCCAGCATGGACAGGCTGCTCAGCCAAGGCTTTCTGAATGAGTGAGTGAATGAATGAGAAGTAGGTTTGGGGTCTGGAAACCACTGCCTATTTCTGAAGAGCCCAGAGAGGTGAGGATGTGGAGGACAGGGACGAGGACAGTCCTCAGACGTCTCTGGCACTAGATGTCATCATGCTATAAGCTTTCCCTCCCTTAATCACATGAGCTGAGCATCAGGACTACAGGATGGAAGACCTGATCTCTGCTCCAGGGCAGTGCCTGACCTGGGGCACCTTGCTTCTACATGCTGCACCTTTGAAACGGTCATAATTCTTCTACGTCATGGGCTGATATGATGACTAAATGAGATGATGGACAAGAAGCCCCCACTCCCACTGGAGCCTGGCACACAGAACAATGCTTTCCAGACAGCAGTTGTGAGATGCAGAGGCAGGAAACGAGGGTTCAGGGAGATGAAGACACTGGCCCAGGCCCCTCAGCCAGAGAGGCATCAGACTAGACCTCAGGACTCTCTCCAGCTGATGGCTGGCTCCCCCCTTCCCTCTCCCCAGCTGTCTTGAGCTGCCTGGACCTCACCCTGTGCCAGAGGAAGGAACTCTGACCCATCACCCGGGACAACCGGAAATCTAGAATAGCGGAAATGGAAATGGGGAAGCCAGGGTTCACCCTGTCCCTGCTGTGTCCCACCTCCGCCATCTCCCAGCAAGCTCTCCCGGCCCAGCTTTCTGCTCCCAGCCCTGCCCCCTTCCCAGCTGCCCAGCCCGCAGAGTCCTGCCCAGGCTGTGATGGGAGCCAGAGAGCCCTAGGTGCCAGTTCAGGGAGCATGGAGACAGATCCAGGGACACGAGACAGTAAGGTGCATGGCACACAGCCAACCACAGCCCAGCATGAACCATGCCTGGCAGGAAACCACAGGAAAGGACCAAAAATACACTCAAGAGTACCCCACCACAAGCACATCCCATTGTACAGACGGGAAAATGAGACTCAAGAAAAGGCCAGTGATCTGCCCAAATTCCCAGGGCAGACCACCACAGGGTTGAGACTAAATCCAGGCCTCCCTGGTGAGGCCACCTCTGGCCTTTGGTTCCTCATGACCCCTCCCCCAGGCTAGAGGTCAGAGAGGCTCTCAAATACCAACTGCCCCTCCACCACCCAGGAGGCCAGACCCCACACCTGCTCAGGGCTGGAGGAGCACAAAGGCCCAGCACTGACCCCATTCTTTGCTGCAACTCCTCTATAGGGACCCCTAAGACCTGTTCCCCAGCCCCCTCCCAGGGAGTTCACAGCCCCTCCAAGGCAGCCAGAGTCAAAGGCCATGCTCACCTTCAGAAAAATCTTGGTTTTGCCAATCTGCCAGTCATCGTGGGTGCCCAGCACAGCCTCAGCCATGCGCTGACATGTCCCCCGAAGGTCGTCCTGGGCAGGGAGGTGGGGGTTGGGGGGTGATGCACAAGAGCTTGGGTGGTCCCACCAGTGGGACACCCAAGGTATCCCTCCCAAGGCTGGGGGACAGACAGCTTGCTCCAGCTCTGCCCCTGACTCTGTGTGGCTCCAGCCGGGCCCCGCCTTCTCTGACCCTCACTCTTCTCCTTAGCTTGGTCTGATGACTGTAAAACCCTCGCCTACAGCCAGGGCCCACTCAGCACATGTGTGACGTCCATGCCAGGCAAGCACGGCAATGGAAGCTCTCAGATGCACTCCACTGCCTGACTCCAATTTTCCCAGCCACACCTGAGGTGGCCAAGCTGATGCTGTGCCCAGCACGGTGTTCCAATGAGAAAACTGGGACTTTTGCCTGGCCCAGGGCTGGTGCCCTCCCTCCCACCGCCTCTGCCCCCGGCCTGTGTACCTGCTTGTAGGCCGGCTTCACGCCAGGCAGCAGCACTCGGTACCGCTCCACAAACTCCACGAAGCTGTAGCGGATGGGGTAGCCAGCTCGGCGGATGCGGATGGTCTCCATCATGCCCGAGTACCGCAGCTGGCGCACACACAGGTGCCGGTCGAACAGCTGTCAGGCATGGAGCCAAGGGCATGAGTGCTGAAGGCTCCCGCTGGGAGACCAGCCCTGCTCTCTGTTTTCCTGGCCCCAGACAGAGGTCCTGAGAGGCCAAGGTCACACATTTCAGGAGGAGCAAAGGTGGGACCAGACCCGGATCTGCAGTCCAAACCCACGGAGCAGCACAGAATGAGATCCTCACTTGGGATGAGCTGAGGGCATTGTAGGCACAGAGGAGAGACAGCTTAACTGGGACATCTTGAGGGGCTTCATGGAAGAGAAGATTAGCTTTGTTCTAACCCTGCTGACAAAGGTCCACATAGTTGAAGCTGTGGTTTTTCTAACAGTCATGTACAGGTATGAGAATTGAACCATAAAGAAGGTTGAGCACCAAGGAATTGATGCATTTGAACTGTGGTGCTGGATAAAACTCTTGAGAGTCCTTTGGACAGCAAAGAGATCAAACCAGTCAATCCTAAAGGAAATTAACCCTGAATATTCACTAGAAGGACTGGAGATGAAGCTGAAGCTCTGATACTTTGGCCATCTGATGCAAAGAGCCAACTCATTGGAAAAGACCCTGATGTTGGGAAAGACTGAAGGCAGGAGGAGAAGGGGACAACAGAGGACAAGATGGATGGGTGACATCACTGACTCAATGGACATGAATCTGAGAAATCTCCAACAGATAGTGAAAGACAGGGAAGCCTGGCATGCTGCAGTCCAGGGGCACAAAGAGTCAGACACAGCTGAGCAACTGAGCAACCGTGACAGGAGAAAGAGTGCTGGAGCAGCAAGCACATGCAAAGGCACACAGTCATTTTTGTGACGGCTGCTGGGTTGGTGGAGAGGCTGGGCACGGCCTCAGAGGCCAAGATAGAAACATGGCAGGATGTGACTGGGTCAGATGTGTGTTCAAGACCCACGTCCCTCCCTGCACTGGGGAGGGGAATGGGAGTGAGGGGTTGGGAGGCAGAAGACTCAGGGAGGAGGTCTTGTAGCCAGGTCCAGGACAGAGATGCTGAGGTCTGGGCCCAAAGAAGTTTTGAGAGGCATGTGAGAGCAGGAGAGATGGTGCCCAACTATAGGGCCCTGGCCTCAATCTCCTGGACCTCCTACCTTAGAGGGCAGCTGCTGGAGCCCTCTGATTCTCACACCCCTGCAGACCGAATCCTGAGCCCTAGAGGGACTGGCCAGCCCACTCTGGGGAATGTTTCCAGGCAGGGGACAGGGGACAGGGCCAGCAGGCGGAAGGCTGACTTCCGCCACCTGCTTCCTCTCTGTACCGGCACTTTCCCTGGCCCAGTGCTGGCCTCCTGCCTTCCGTCCCTCCACAGACAGACCCCATCTTCCCCTGGGCCTGCCCTCCTATCTCTGGGAAGTGTCTAGTGGTAAACAACACCCCGCAGAGCTGTGGAAGGAGAGCACTCCCAGCAAGGGGCAGTCCAGGCTCCCGGCTCTGCAACCGCTAGCCCCCGGCCTCCTTGAGCCTCCTGTACCCCATCTCGGATGTGTGCTTAGTCGCTCAGTCGTGTCCAACTCTTTACAACCCCATGGACTGTAGCCTGCCAGGCTCCTCGGTCCATAGGTCTTCTCCAGGCAAGAATACTGGAGTGGGTTGCCATGCCCTCCTCCAGGGGATCTTCCCAACCCAGATCAAACCCATTGATTTTGGGTCTCCCGCATTGCAGGTGGATTCTTTACCATCTGAGCCACCAGGGAAGCCCACCAAATCTCAGATAAGGGGCCATAATGGTCCCTCCCTCACTGGCTGTTGGGAAAGTTGAATGAGACTATGGAAAGACAACCTAATCTGTTCTGGGCACACAGAAAGGGCTCAACAGATGTTATTCAGAAAAGTCAGAAATGAAAACATTCCCAACCACTCAGAGGAATCCAAGAAGGCTTCCAGGAGGAGGTAATCATTGGCAGAAGCAAAGGAGAGGGGACTTTCAAAGTTGGGACCACATAAAGAACCATTTGTGGAGTTCCTTCCTAGGCGCCAGGCAGTTTGCATGCATCATTGAACAGAATACTCCCAGGAGGTGGGTACAATCAGTCCTGTTTCCATCTGAGAGGTAACTGAGGTATCAGAGAAAGAAGTGACTCCTCTATAGTCACCCTGCAGGAAGGTGGTGGACTCAGGATTTGAATCTGCATTTAGCCCACTACTACAGAGTCCAGGCTCTTTTCAGGGAACTGGGCTGTAAAGAGGAACTTTGTTCTGTAAACCCCTCAGGGGACAAAGTCTCCCAAGGCCCAGTCCACCCTGCTCCCTTGGCCCGGCCCCTCCCGTCCCTCAGGCTGTTCCCAGCTGTCCCCACCCCCCATCCCTGCCAGGGCTGCTCACCATGGGCTTCTTGAACTCATTGGGCTTGATGCAGCGCACGAAGAAGGGCTGGCAGGCACCCAGCGTCCGCATCAGCAGCTCCAGCGACCGCTTAAACTGGCTGCTGAGTGTGGGCGAGCGCTTCCTGGTCTCGGCGCCCTGGAGGGATGGACCACAGCGATGGGAGGGGCTGACCCTCGCCCCTCCGGCCCTCCAGAAGGGAAGCAGGAGAGGTTGTCAGCAGTCAGGGCCTGAGGGAGAGCCTCCCAGGGAAGCAGGCTGGCTGGTCACGTAGGTTTTCCTATGACCGCCTGGTTTGGGCTGGAACTTAAATGCCCCCCAAACACACCCCCATCTGGGAAGCCTCCCTGATCCTGGGTCCAGGGGCACTGCACAGAGAGGAGCCCTGGGGTCCCACTCTGGGTGCTGCATGACTCCGGGCAAGACACATGAGCCCCTCTCCAGCCTCTGTCCTCCCTTCGCCATATAAATGAGTGGCCAGATCTCTGGACAATGGGGTCACCTCTAGAGGCAGGTTAGACAGACCTAAATTCAAACCCTAGCTCACCACCTCTGAGCCCTGTGATTCTAGGCAGGTCAGTAAGCAGCACTGGGCTTCAGTTTCTGAGATAGGATAGTGCCATATATCTAGCTGAGCGGGCTGTGAGTCTGTCTCAGTCAACAGACACCTAGGAAGGCGGGGGTGCTGCCTGCACCCTCTGCCCTCCCTGTAGGATTAGCAGGTCAGCAGCAGGCGGGCGGGGCAGACGCACATAAGCCTCCTAAGAAGGCACACAGCTGGCCTTTGGCTGCCGTCCAGCACCAAGGCCCCGGGGCCCTGTGCTCCACCAGCCGCTATCTGCAGGAACTGGCCAGTGGCCCCCTGCACCTCCTGCCCCATTGGGGTCCCCGTCTGAGAACACTGTGAAATGAGGTGGGGCCCTCGGGGAGAACCTGAGCAACGAACAGGCAGCAGACAAACAGCAGAACATCTCAGACCCAGAAACTGGACGTAGAGACCAGATTCAATTCCAAAGCATTTTGACATTACTGTTTTCCTGGCAATTTCTTTTGGATGAGAATTTTTAATAAGTGAATTTGATTGTAATTTTAAGATTTTCTACTTTAAATGCATTATTGTATCTGATATCCTGTAGCACCAAACATTGAGGATGCAGATGTCAATGTGTGAGGTGTGTTAGGTGAGGGAGAGGAACTTAACCCATGCTAGAGTGAGACCATACATCCCAGGACTGAAATGAAACTTGTCAAGAAATAGCAAATCCTTGTTATTCTGAAATTTTCTGTGTTTTCCATTATAGTGTTATCTAGAATTAGGATTCTCCCAAGAGAAGCTGGAGACCATTTTGCACAGGGATTGGGTGAATGTCAAGTCTGCGACCCCCATATCTGCCCCAGCACCTAACCCAGCAGCAGCACCAGGTGACCCCCACAAGTTAGGGGGAAGCTGTCCAGGTTGGGCTGTACCCAGCCTACATTAGAGGCCTTGCCATGAGCACATGTGTGCATACACGGAGTACAAACACAACAGACACACAGCACACACAGTACATATACATATATACACACAACACACAAATGTACACATATATACACACACATCACACACACATGTACACAGAGACAGTACATACAGACAGACACACATACACACCACAGATAAACACCACACACAGCACACACACACCTACACAACATACACAGACACAGACACACACAGGCACACACAACACATACACAACACACAAAGCATGAGCACATGTACAACACGCACAAACACACACACAGACACATAGACACACAGGCACACACAACACACATACACAACACACAAAGCATGAGCACATGTACAACACGCACAAACAACATACACACACATAAGGCACATCCTTCTCTGGTTGTGCACACTGGAATCACTCCTTTCTGTCTTTCCCGCTGAGCTATGAGCCCCGAGAGGACTTGCTTACTACGGTGCCCCAGGGCCTGACATAGCAACAGTCAACAACATTTTGCTGAACTGAAGTGGAGCTGAACTGGTTGCTCACATCCAAGGGCTCCTAGAAATTGTCCAGCTGTTCAGGCCACAGGTCTAGGGGCCAACCCCAACCCCTCCTCTCTCATATCCAATATGCAGCAAACCTTATTGACTTTACCTCCAAAACGGATCCAGAATCTGACCCTCTTAACCACTTCCTCCCCCGTCAGCCTGGTGCAGGCTGCCTGCCTGGCTCTCCTGCTCTTGCAATAACCTCCAAACTGGTCTCCCTGCTTCTGTCCCTCACACTGACCTCTACCCCACTATCAACACAGCAGCCTGAATGAGGCTGTTCAAATACCAATCCAGTCAAGTCTCCCCTCTCCCAAATGATTCAAAACCCTCAATGGCTCCCCAGTTCACTCAGCATGAATACCAAGGACCTTTGTAAGAACCAGCACTGTCCCACAGGATCTGGTCCCAGTTATCTCCAGCCCCTCCACCACCTCACTCCCCCCCCCTTCCAGCCACTCCTACAATACACCAGGCAGGCTGGGGCTTATAAAGCACCTTGGAGTTTTACAATTACTGTTCCCTGTTCCCCCCAGAATGCATGTGGCCGGCTTCCTCACCTCCTCACCAACCTCTCCATAAGGCCTTTCCTGATCCCTCTGCATAACTGCAAAACCCCACCACTGGCTCTCCTCCCTCCATTTTTCCCATCTCATATATCACCATCTGACATGATAATTCAGATTATTAACATTAATAAGCATTTGCTTATTAACTACTTTCCCCTTCTACTAGAGGGTAAATCGCATGACAACAGAGGATTCTTTCAGTTTTGTTCACTAGTGTGTCCCCAGGACACAGGACAATCAATATCTGGCATATAATGGGTACTCAATGGGTATTTCTGAAGGAAGAAAGGAGTAGGGGGGCTATGAATCCAGGGTCTGCTCTCACCTCCATGGCCACCTGCTTTCTGATTTGGTTTTATTTCACTGAGGGGAAAGGTCATCTTTTCCAACATTTGTTGTTTTCTTGGATAGTCTGCAGATATTTAGGGATGGGGTAAAGGCAGAAGTGAGAAATCCAAAGGTCTGTGTTAAATGATTCCATGGAGGGGATGTGGGGGCAGGCACCTGAATGTAATGCAATGGGGGCTTGGAAGTCAGTGGCAGGAGATGCCTCCTGCATGAAGAGTGAACAAGCCTCCTGTGGACTCAGCTCTGTGGGGACATGTGCCTTGATTGGGGGTTAGGGGCTCCATGCCCTGGAAGAAGCACCATGCTTTTGGCTTACTGCTCCCCTCCAGCAGTAATGATTGGGGTGGGGCTTCCCAGAGCACCCCAAGAGGCAGACACAAGAGTCAAAAGGCAGAATTCAGGCACTGGGGACCTGCACAGGACATGGGTCTCATCACTGAAAGGATGTGGACGCCCACCCTAAGGAGAGCACGGCAACCAGTATACTGTCATCCAATAAAATTTGACTCAGCATCCACACTTCACCAAGCCAATCTTGTTCTTTTAACAGAGCTATCATTTTTCCAACAGAAACAAAGCATTTTCTTAAGACAACACTCTCACAGACAGCACAGTACAGTGAAAAGGAGCAGGGACTCGAAAGCCTCACTTTAGCCTTCATTTGTCCATGACCTTGGCCAAGTCCCGGCATCCCCCCAAGTTAGAAAAGTGAAAGTGTCAGTTGCTCAGTCGTGTCCGACTTTTTGTGATCCAATAGACAGTAGCCTGTCAGGATCCTCTGACTATGGGATTTCCCAGGCAAGAATACTGGAGTGNTAGCCTGCCAGGATCCTCTGACTATGGGATTTCCCAGGCAAGAATACTGGAGTGAGTTGCCATTTCCTCCTCCAGGGGATCTTCCTGACCCAGGGATCAAACCCACATCTCCCATGTTGGCAAACGGATTCTTTATCATCTGAGCCACCAAACCTGGATCAAATCCCTGTGTGTCACCAGCTGTGTGACTTCAAACAAGTCCTTGGCCTCTCTGTTAAGTGGGGACAATAGTAATTACTCATGAGGGAGCTATAGGGAATGAATGAAATGAGAAATATGTGTGTGTAGCTCACAGGCTGGCCCAGAAGAGCAAAAGTGATTGTTATCAAATTGGTCCCTGCCATGTTCTAATCCTGTGCTCCAAACACTCCCTTGGGGGAGGGCACTTCTGGACGCTGCCACCCCCCGCCCCCCCGCCCCAGTCTCATGCTGGAACCTCTCCACAGTTCCTCTGCAAGTAGGTTCCCAGCGTCCAGGGGAAGGAGACTCAGAACAGGAACTTCACAGGGAGGCCCCCACAGCCTCCAGGGGCTTGGAAAGAGCGGTAGGAGGACAAGTGGGTTCAGTGGCCTTTGAAGACTGCCCAGGAATGCGTGGGCCTGGCAGGGCAGCTGGGTCTACAAGAGGAAAGACTGAGGAGAGAACCCACAGTCATTCCCATCTCACTAACTCTGTGACCTGTAGTGTGTGGGCTTCAGGGTGGGGACTACCGGTGCTGGAGCTTCAGGCACCTGCACCCTCACTGGCAGTGGCCCTATGTGCCTCCCATCAGCCAGCTGGGCCGCAGTGTTGGCCTGGAGCCGACCCATGGCAGAGAGCCTCTGTCCAGCCATGATGTGCCAGGGGCCCTCCTCTGCAGCTGTGGTTTTGTGAATTGTGTCAGGACTCTGCCAGGCATGAGACAGCAGGGGGATGCCAGACACTCAGGAAGGAAGCAGGATTCAGCATTAGGACTGAACGTGAGAGGATGTCAGACCTAAGCAGAGAGGAAATCGAAGGTAGAGAAGAGGTCAGAGCTATGCTGCTGCTAAGGTCACCCTGCATCTCTGGAGCCCAAAGCACCTTGGGAGTTATGCACCACCTGGAGCTGGTTGTCAGGACACACCAAGAATGCTGTCCGGGACCCAAGGAGGACCAGGGTAGGGGGTGGTGTCCAGTCCCGGCTCCCTCAGATGCTGGGACTGGAGTGAACCACACACCACCTCTGAGCTTCAGTCCCTGTCTGCAAAATGCAGAAACCACCACCTGCCACTCCTGCTTCACAAGGTTAATCAGAGGCTCTGACTGAGTCTTGGACATAGAAACCCTTCGCAGGGCCTGATGGGAGGAGCAAGCCTTGATACCTCCAGAGACTCAAGGAGCAGAGAACTTGGTAGACAAGGTTTTGGGTCCCAGCCCGGGCCCTGGTACACTGGGCAAGTCTTATCTCTTTCTCTAGGACTCAGTTTCCTCCTCTAAGAAACTGAGATGCCTGCAGTCCACACAACTCAATAAACAAAGATCAAACCACTCCACAAACCACTCCACAAAAACACACACTCCACAAAAATAAATGAAAACCAAACAACAACAACAAAAATGGCCCTTTCCCCAAGCCTCAGTGCCACGGGGGCCAAGGACACAGCCCAGTCCCAAGGGCCACTGAGGCCTCTTGCGCCATCCTCCATCCCCGGCTGGGGTCTTTTACCTTCACAGAAGCTGCTGAGTGGCGGAGAGTGCCCGATGAATAACCACAGAGAAACTACAACAGGAACCAGAGCGCACGGCGGCGGCGAGATGGGGTAGGGGGCAAGGAGAACGTGGTGGGTCAGAAAACAGAGGGCAAAATCCACCAGGGAGAGAGGATGACCCTCGGGGCAGTGGGGCTTCGAGGTNAGACAAGGGGACGCCTAGACACAGGCCTGGCTTCTGGGGGCCCTGCCTGCCCAATGAAAGCACCCCCACGTTACCATGGCAACGTCAGCCTGGAAGATCTGCTTGATGAACTTGTTCCTGGAGGAGTGCACCAGTTGGATGATGTCTCCATGCAGCGTGTCCCGGTTCTTCTCAAGGAAGCCTGGGCAGCACCACAGAGCGGTCACACATTGCAACTCCAGCGGCCTCCCCCCAACCAGACTCACCCCCTTCCCAAAGCCACCACGCCTCGTCCACGAAAAGACCCTCAAAATCCCCCTAGTTCAACCATGTCCACTTTATAGTGGGGGCCTCTGGGGCTGAGAGAGGACAGTGGCTTGCCCAAGGTCACAGAGAAAGCAAGGGGCAGAGCCAGAGCTGAAACTCAGTTTCCCCGGCCACACGCCGCCCCCTCTTCCAGGCCTGGACAAAGAGAACAGCAGGAGGTCTCAGTCCCCGGGAGGGAGCGGGGTTATCTTTCCCACCAAACCACCCCAATGCCCAAAACACCAGCTTTAGTCTTTTGAACAAACGTGAGATAGGCTGGGGTGCTGGACCCTAGGCTGGAGCGTGGGATCCTTTACTGGAGAACTTGCACCTGGACAAACCTCTCCCTGAGCAACAGAAACAAAGAAGCTATGAGACTAAAAATAACTGCAGTGCATGTACAGCTTGGGCAGTTATGGGCAGTAAGACTCAAAAAGGCTACAAACCAACTACCATTTCTGAGCTGCTGGGAGGAAAAGCAGCAGGCTGCCTAGGAGCCCTGCACCCAGCACCAAGAGTGTGAGCAGGCCACGCCAGCCACCCCTCCAGCCCGACCCACCTCACCAGTCTGCCCCCACCCTCACCTTGTTTAAGGAACCAGCCCGCCCCCGCCCAGGGAGCCAGCAGGGGCACCTGTTTCTTGTTCCAGCTTCCTCACTCCCTCATGCTGCAGCACAAGCCTCAGTAAAGCCTTGCCTGGTTTCTTATCAATTTCTATGGATTAAAGAGTCCAAGGATCCAGGTTGGTAACAAAGGTGTCAAAAACCCTCCTTAAGTGGGCCCGCTAGGAGAGATTGCAAGTTTGTTTGGCACCAGCTAACAGTAAAGGAATGAGTGTAAAAGTACCTTGATTTTGGATATTGCCCTCACAGCTGTAACGCTCACAACTTCCCCTGTATATGTCGGACAGGTGGAGATTATCTTCCCCAACCCGGACAAGGAAAGAAATTGATGTTCAGAGAAGCTAAGCAAACTGTCCAACATCACACAGCAAGCTGCGGGCAGAAGTTAAGACCTGAGCCCAGGCACCAGCCCAGGGAGGCTCCCTGCACCACACAGACTCCAAAGAGGGCTGCCATTCCCTGGCCTGAGGATTAAGGAGCTGGTTAATGGGGGTCTTTGATAGGGTGGGGCAGAAGATGGGGTGCCTGAGAAGGAGGAACCTTGCAGAGAAGCAGCATCCTTCCCCCCAGGACTCAGAGTGCCCGGGCTAATGGACAGAGACCCAGTGTGAGGCTGCCCACCTGACATCTGGGGAAGGGCGAGCTGCAGGAGACACTCAGTACTGGAAGGGGGGATGGGAAGCTAGGATAGAATTGTAGGGCCCTAATTAAAACATAAAGAAGGCTGAGCACCGAAGAATTGATGCTTTTGAATTGTGGTGCTGGAGAAGACTCTTGAGAGTCCTCTGGATTGCAAGGAGATCAAACCAGTCAATCCTAGGGAAAATCAACCCTGAATATTCATTGAAAGGTCCAATACTTGGGCCACCTGATGCAAAGAGCAGACTCATTGGAAAAGACCTTGATACTGGGAAAGACTGAGGGCAGGAGAAGGTGGTGGCAGAGGATGAGATGGTTAGATAGCATCACTGACTCAATGGACACGAATCTGAGCAAATTCCAGGAAACAGTAGAGGACAGGGGAGGCTGGCGTGCTGCAGTCCATGGGGTCACAAAGAGCTGGACATGACTTAGTGACTGAACGACAACAAACTAAAGCTCTATGACAGACTCACTATGGGACCCTAGAGAGTCCCCTTCTGGGCCTTATGTTCTGTATCTTTTGAATGAACATGATGTACCCATGAGCTCTTGCTTCTTTTCGGATCACCTAAACCATTTATGTTTTAAATAAAATGCTAAAAAATTAAAACAGTGCTCTGTGAACAGAAAACGCCAACAGAATTGTTAAAAGTAGCTCAGAACTGATTAGTGATCTTAGGCAAGTCACTTCCCTCTCGGGGCCTCAGTTTCCAAATCCACAAAAGTAGATGAGTCTTCTGTTCCCTCCAGATCTAATAATATTCTATAATTTTATAAGTGAGTAGAGTTCACTCAATTTTCATTTTCATATCCTCAGCAACAGTATGAAATATGAACCCTGGTCAATGAATGTTAGTTGAACTGAGCTGAAAACACCCTCTCTTACTCTAAACAACAGACCCATTTGTTTACCCAACAGTCCTTCAAAATTAACACTGGCTTCCTTCTTTCTAACAGGAGTCTCAGATCTCACACGTGATATTTTAAGGAAGGCTGACGGCCCTCAGATCCCATAACTGCTGCATGATTCACTCTCTGCCTTCTGGACCAATTCCACAAGGAAGTATGAAACCGGTGGCTCTTTGCTTGTTGAGAACTTCACTGACTTTAGCTGTGGGAGGCACCCTTCAGGGCTAAAGGCAGCAGGGCAGACACATCCCACAGCTGATGCCCACTCAAGGTCAGCTCTTTGCACCAGGTGGGAGGGATGGAGTTGGCAAGGGCAGTCTGCGGGCTTTTGACAGATGGTGTAAGAATTCCAAAGGGAAAAACTTAACTATGTTCTGATCTTCTTCCTCACTTTTAGCTTTAAAATGAGCCCACTTATATCTCCCAGGAGAAAAGAAGATGCAAGTCCTTCAAAGACCAAACTTGGTCTTGTTGCTCAAAGACTTTTGGTGACTAACTGTGCTGGTCCTAGGTCTGGCTTTGCACCCAATAGGCTGTGGGATCTACAAACTAACTGGTCCTTCTGAGCCTCAGTTTCCCCTTATGTGCAAAAGAGTGTTGAGCCCATACAAAGAACTGAAACCAGGGACTAAAGAAGATACTTGTACACCCATGTTCACTTGGATTACAAGGAGATCAAGCCAGTCAATCCTAAAGGACATCAACCCTCAATATTCACTGGAAGGACTGATGTTGAAGCTGAATCACCAATACTTTGACCAACTGATGCAAAGAGTCGACTCATTGGAAAAGACTCTGATGCAGGGGAAGACTGAAGGTAAAAGGAGAAGAAGGCAGCAGAGGAAGAGATGGTTGGATGGCATCACTGATTCAATGGACATGAATCTGAGCAAACTCTGGGAGATAGTGGAGGATGGTGAAGCCTGGCATGCTGCAGTCCATGGGGTCACAAAGAGTTGGACACACCTTAGCGACTGAACAATAATGCCCATGTTCACAGCAGCACTATCCACAGCAGCCAAAAAGTGGAAAAAACCCAAATGTCCATCAACAGATAAATGGATAAATAAACTGTGCTGTGTGTGTATACATAAATGTATATGCAATAGAATATTATTGTCATAAAAAGGACAAAAGTCTGACACGTGCTACAACATGGATGAACCTTGAGGGTATTAGGCTAAGTGAAATAAGCCAGACACAAAAGGACGAATACTGTATGTTTCACTTACATGAGGTACTTGAATAGTTAGATACATAGAGACAGAAAGCAGAGTAGAGTTTATCAGGGACTAGGGGGTGAGAGGATGCAGAGTTACTGTTTTGTGCATACAGAGCTCCTATTTGGGGTGATGGAGAGTGGTGACAGTTGCACAATATCGTGAATGTAGTTAATGCTGATGAATTGTAACCCTAAAAACTGTTAAAATGGTTAATTTTATATTACATATATTTTACCAAAATTTTGTAAACTCTAAAAAAAAGCCCTGATCCCAGTGTTTTCTAACATCCCTTCCCTCTTTGTATTTCAGCACTCTGGTATGTCTATCCTGGGCTGGAGAAGGGGAAGGAAGGGAGGGAACACAGGCAAAGAGAGACAGCCAGCCGCAGGGGGCGCTCCTATACCTTGACTCTCATAGTAAACGATGCCTGCAAAGTGGTTGATCCCAAACTGGGTCTCGTGATTGTTCTTGGGGGGAATGTAGTTCGAGTTGAGCTTGTGCTGAGAGTTGAGCTTATGCAACATGGTGGTGTCCGTGCCCTGTGGGAACGGAGGAGCACCCATCAAGCTCTCCCTCTCCTCCCCGCCCCACTCTCCACCAGACCCTATTGCCTCTCCTGCCCTCTGTCATTTCACCCCCCCTTCTATCTTTCCCAAGAGCCTCCCTCCCTTTGTTTATATCCCAACACGGGAGCTCTCTGGGCCTCCATTTCCCCATTCTGTTCAGTGGGTGAATTGGAATTACAAAACCTTGAAAGTACATCCCAGTATAGAAAATCTGTTTCCCAAGATTAAAATCATGCAAGTAGCCCCTCCCCAACTCCAAGACATATTCCGTGCCTGGAGCACCTATCCTGCGCCAGTGGCATACTTGGATCGTCATCGTATGGGGTGAAGGAGTCTCGTCTGCCTCGCCCTGCCCCAGGCCCACCTTGGGGAACTTGCTCTCCTCATCGATGAGGGAGATGATGTTCATGGGTTTGTTGGCGATCATGTCCAGGGCGTCCTGGTTGTCTGTGAACTCGATGTGCATCCAGTCGATGCTCTCCAGGTCATACTCCTCCTGCTCCAGCTTGAACACGTGCCGCACGAAGAACTGCTGCAGGTGCTCATTGGCAAAGTTGATGCAGAGCTGCTCAAAGCTGCAGGGAGGGGCAGGGGACAGGGGGGCCGCAGGGTAGCGGGAGGGGTGTTCAGGCCCTGCCTTGCCACTTAGGGGTGACCCCAGCTTGGTGGTCAGTGTGCCCCTGGGATTTTCAGTCTCTAAGGTGGAAAAGTATTGTTAAGTCCAACCTCCTCCATGACAGAAGAGGGCATGGAGGCCCAGCGAGGGCACAGCACTCGCCCAAGGTCACTGAGTGAGTCAGAGCAGAGTTAAGGATGGATGACCAGGCCCTAGGAGAGGGCTGGCCGATGGGCAACACACCCCTGGCAGAGCACCCAGGAGAGGAAGAGCCAAGGCACTGGGGAGGTGGGCCTCAAAGACTCAAAGCATCAGCAGATATGGGAAGGCGGCTCACAAGACCTGGCAAGCAGGGCCTTGAGGGTGACATCTCTGAGCCAACAACTCACGTTCTCCCAGGTGACTGACACTTCGTGTGTTCAGGGTGAGTGTTTGGGTAGGGGGAGGGCTTTGAGACATCTGAACATTATAGGAATTGAAGTGATTCACCAGGGGTCACATAGCTAAAAAGTGGGGCAGGCCAGCTGCCTCTAGCCCCAGCATTCTCCTGGGCCTGCTCACCCATCTGCCCCTCACATGGCCCCCAAGAGGGGTGGGACATCAAGCAAGGCCAAGACCCCCATTTCAAACACTGCTCAGTCTCAGCCTCACTTGCTTCAAGGCATCTTGCAGCTTGGAAATAGACCAATGGGCAGTGGGGACAAGCGTGTCACAATGGGCTAAGAGCCTTCGCCCCACCACCACACTGGCCTCAGCTAGCTCAGGGACTGGAGGGGATAGGGAGGAAGGGGAAGGGCCCCCAGGATGTCTGTAGTCACATTTTTCAACAGCCTGGAAGAGTGTGCTTGGGACCAGCTAAATGCAGTTTAAAGGGAGAGATGTGATCTGTAAGCCCACACTTTAGAAGAAAATTCCCACAAGACACAGCCCCACGTGGTACCTGTTCACCGCAAAGTTCTCGAACCCAAAAATGTCCAGGAGACCGATGGACCGGCGAGAGTTCTTCACTTCCTGGGAAGGGGGCTTATAAATGGCTGCATTGATCTTGTCCACAATCCACACGAAAAGCCGCCCGTAGATGCCCTAAAGGGAGAGGTAGCTGCATAAGTCACAGCTTCCCAAGGAGACTGGCCAGACGGAGACCTTCCCTGGGCCTTGGAGGCCTCACTCCAGCCCCTTCTGGCTGCAGGAAACCCTCATGTCTTTATTCCAGCTGTTCCCACTGCCTGGAGCACCCTCTCCTGCCTGAATAATGTCTGCTTGATTTTCAAAGCTCTATGGAGATATCAGCTCCACCAAGAAACCTCCCCTCCGCTCCCCTGGAAGTTTGGGTCCCCACCCCTCCAACCATCTCTGTCTCCCAGGTCCCAGAGCCCAGGACAGGGTCTGGCACAGGGCAAGGGCTCAATGGATGACAAAATGGCAGGACTGGGGGGCCTCCCCACCTGGCCCATTCCCTCCGTAGGGTCTTCTCTAGAAGGAGAGACCAGAGAGGGTATCCACAGGGCTGGGAATAGCACAGCAGACTGAATGACCAGCGAATATGATTCAGCGTGAAGCAGGCCAGGGGTGGAAGGCCTCAAGTCACCAGAGCTGTTTGGGCCCTTGAAGAACACAAGTCCCTGCCCCTTGGACTCAGGGGGAAGGCAGACTCTTGTCCAGGCCCCAGAGAGCCAGTGGCTGGAGCCAGACCCAAGGGCAGAGCGGGGTCAAGGCTGGCATCCCTCCACTCTGGGCTCCTCAGCTCCTGCCCATCAACAACCCAGCCTCTCGTGGGGCGAGGAGAGCAGGCGGCCACTGCACCTTGACGAAGGCGTCTCGCACGTCCAGTGCCTGCTCCCTGCTGAGCGGAGTGGACACTGTCTCCCCGCGAGTGATGAGGGTGCGGCTGGTCAGGCAGTTCATCAGGTCTGGGGGGTTCACCTGGTGGGGCGACATCCAGGCACTCACTCAGCCCCCCGCCAGCCTGCCCCTCCCTTGGCCACAGCCCAATCCTCCCCATTCATCAAAACCACCCAAACGCCTCTGTCCTCCACAGCCCCTTCCCACCCCCAGGATGTCACCTGTCCCTCCAGCACTGGCTCCACTGGCTCGGACTCTGACTTTATTCATCCCAGTTTTCCAACTTAAGGCAGAGGCTAGTATATATTTACTAAAAGACTGACTGACCCGCTCAGGGCCCCTAGACCCCCACCCTCTCCAGGGGCAGCCTGGAGTACTAGGGCTCTGCTCCCGCCCTGGGACCCCATGCCCAGCACAGATCCTGCACACAACGGGTTGGTTCTCTGTGTTGAACTCCCAAGATTCTCCAAGCAGAGGGCCTCAGCTCTCTGAGCCAGAAGTCAAAACCATCCCTCTGAGAGAAAGAACAGCAGACGGGGACAGCAGGCTCTCACTGACCTCCAGCAAGGATGCGGCTGTGGCCAGGGACGGCGAGAAAAGAACCTCGCAGGCATCCAGGTTTTCAAACGTGCGGTCTGTCAGCGGCATCAGGTAGTGTCAGGCAAGGGAGGTGGGGGCGAGGGACAGCCTAGGGCGACGGGGTGGCTCTGCCCACTCTCGGGGGGCTGCCCTGTCCACGGAGGGCACCACCACCATGATTAAATGCTTTTCTGGGCTAATCGCTATCTGACAAATGTTGTCTCCATGAGCCATGGGCACCATGAGGGCAGGAAGCAGGAATGCCCAGCATCTGGCCCCCTGCCTGACATCCAAGTAAGCAAGACCCCGGCAATCATGCCCCCCCCCCCACCTCCCGTGATCCCCACTCCAGACTCCCAGAGTAATCAGGGACTCCTGACACAGGCCTGCTGAACCTGCCTTGCTCTGTGCCTGACACCATCTGCCCTTCCCCAAATATGCCCTACTCTGTCAGGCCCCAGGACCTTTGCACAAGCTCTTGTTGCTGCTCAGTGGACCCGTGCTCCATGTCTCTGTCTTTCAAGACTCATCAGACTGTGAGCTCCTTAGATCTGGGATCATTCATTCATTCACTGAGCAAACTTTCCTAGGGCTCTCACTCGGCCCAGGAGCCATGCTGGACACCAGAGCGAGAGCAGAGAGGACCTGGTACCTGCCACAGCCTGGCACCACCTCCCAGCCCGGCACACTGTCAGTGCCCCAGGAGTGCTGGACGAGTGAACGCGTTTCCTTCGCTAGCCTTCCCTCTTCACTAGACACGGCTGCTGGGTCCCTCACCCTCATACTGCAGGTTGCCCAGGTGCAGGATGGCAGCTAGAAGCTTCGAGATCTCCCAGTTCTCCGTGTCAGTGAACATGAGCACCTTCATGGCCGAGCGGATGTTGGCATATTCCTGGCTGTCCTCGCGGCCCTCACAGGTTATGCAGTTACCCTTGTGGGAGGAAGTTGGAAAGCGGGGAGCAGGAGGGTGTCACAGAGACCATAGGTTACCCCCAGAGAGGCAGCGCCTGGGCTAGGCCAGCCTGGGTTTCTGGACACTGACCTCACCTAGGACTCCTCCAGAAAATCTAGAAAGCTCCTGGCTGGGCTTCTCAGGAACACATTCCCACATCAGGGGAGCCTGGATGCCCCTTCTTCCCAAGAGTGAGAGAAGCCAGGTCACTGATGCCAGGCCTGCCTCTGCCACCCTGCCCTGCAGACACAGCACCGAGGTCTTACCATGCCCCTCACCCCCTGGGGACACACACTCTCAGGGACTTAAACCCCTCACCAGGTGCAGCCTGGGGTGGAAGGTGGGGTGGTAACCGTAGACAGGCAGGGTGTCAAGGGGTCTGCCCCAATGTGTATGCCTATGAGACATGTGTGTGTGTGTGTGTGTCCAAGTGTGCCAGCCAGCTAAAGGAAGTGTCCACGAAGGCCTGTCACACCTACAACACACACACACACACACACACCTTTGTTGTCCCACATCCCTCATGTGCTATAGCCCATATTTGTGTCCATGTGGCTGGCCAAGCTTTGGTCTAGACAACCAGGCATGGGCTCTTCCCAGGGCAAAGGAAGCCAGTGACCCCCCAAGCCAACCTGCTGTGTGCATGGCCCTTCACTGGCACCGAGGGGCAGCAATGGCCTCAGGCCCACTTATCCTTGGTGGCCAAACCCCAGCAAGAGGCTGGCACCAGGGCCCTGCAGCCAGCTAGCACCCAAGGCTGAAGCCTGTGCTTCAGGCCTTGGGGGGGCCCTGGCAGGGGTCACAGTCTCCACGACCTCAAAGACTAAACTACCACAGCACATGTGTGTAGGCAGGGCCTAGTGTGTATACACATGGGCACGTGCATGCCTGTGTGTCCCTGTGTCTGGGACACCTACACATTTAGGAATGTGTGTGTCTGTGGTGGGCTTCCCAGGTGGCGCTAGTGGTAAAGGACCCACTGCCAATGCAAGAGGTGTAAGAGATGTGGGTTCAATCCCTGGGCCAGGAAGATCCCCTAGAGGGCACGCCAACCCACTTCCATATTCTTGCCTGGAGAATCGATGGACAGAGGAGCCTGGCAGGCTACTGTCCATGGGGTCACAACAAGCCAGACACAACCAAGGCGTAATTACTAGTGTCTGTGGCAGGAATTCATCTAGATGGGTGGGGGAGCAAGTGTGTGTCCACATGGGGAACATGCTTTATGGTAGGCTGGTGACCGTCAGAGGATGAAAGAAGGCCCACAGAAAAGTTCCCACCCACCAGGCCTGGAGTTGGGGAGGGGCTGGGAGAGGCGTCCCCCTCCCTGGGTGCCCACCTGGGCCTCACCATGGCCAAGTAGTTATAGTCCGTGGCCTGGCCCAGGCCCAGCTTCTTCTTCTGCTCCTCATTCATGCCCTCCAGCATGCAGTAGAACACGTGGTAATTCCTTTCATCTGGAGCCTGAAAACGTGGGCACAAGGTGTTGGGAGATGGGAGGGCAGGACAAGGCCCTCGGGCAGCAGACAATTAAGTAGACTATAAACAGTTCACTGTTTTAACAAGTGTCTTTCATGAAAAAGTCCCCATGGGTAGGTTTCCTGATGGGATCCCAGGCCCTGAGGCAAGCAAGCAGGAACACAGGGACAAGCAAGGCCATGCCAAGTGCGCACCCCGCTCCCCACCCCGAGTCAGGGGCTCCTGTGTGGGGCTCGGGCCCACCTGGCGACAGACTCGTGACTTCTCCAGCAGGTACTGCTCGATCCTGGCACCCTCGATGGCGCCCCGCTTGTTGAAGTGGATGTCGATGTACTTCCCAAAGCGGCTTGAGTTGTCGTTGCGGATGGTCTTAGCATTCCCAAATGCTGCAAGTGTAGGAGAGGGTCACAGGTCATGGTCAAGGTCAACTCCCCCCACCCCCACCCCACAGCCACCCCGCTCCTCCCTGAGTGCCCCAGTCCTACCTTCCAAGATGGGAGTGGCTTCCAGCACCTGCTGCTCAATCCACGAGTGCTGCCCACTGATGGCCGCCAGGAACTGCAGGATCAGCTTCGTGCTCTCTGTCTTCCCCGCCCCAGACTCCCCACTGCAGAGACACAAGCAGAGGCGGGACCTGTTACAGCTGCTGCCCCACTCCAATCAGCTCCCCATCTGTAAAACGGGCTGAAACTAAGGACTTTTTGGGGCTTCCCTGGTGGTTCAGATGGTAAAGAATCTGCCTGCATTGCGGGAGACCCAGGTTCAATCCCTGGGTTGAGAAGATCCCCTGGAGGAGGGCATGGCAACCCACTCCCGTATTCTTGCCTGGAGAATTCCACGGACAGAGGAGCCTGGTGGGCTACAGTCCAAGGAGTTGGAAAGAGTCAGACATCACTAAGTGACAAACACTTCACTTTCAAGGACTTTTCAAACCTGGGGAAGGTAAAAGGAGCTTGGTTAACTTTCCTTCCCCTGCATCCATACTGCCACACAGCATGGCATTAACTAGATGCTCTGTCAATGCTTTGTCCTTTTATCCTCTGCGCAAGAGAGAATGGGAGCCTGAGGTTGCAACTGACCATAACTTAACAGGAGCCAGCAGTAAGGTTGGCATCGAAAGCTAACATGAGCTCTGGTGACAATAGAGATATATGGGGAGGTGATTCTCTATATTATGAGGCATTAGCAGGAGCATAGAGCAGGAGTTCCAGGGGCTAAGCCTGGAGCTCCATGCTGGTGCTGGGTGCCCACCTGATGATGCAGCACTGGTCACGGCTGTTGCGCTTCATATTGAAGTAGCAATTGTCAGCGATGGCAAAGATGTGGGGGGGCATCTCCCCAATCTTCTTGTTGGTATACTGGCGGATGTGTTCTGGCGAGTAGATAGAGAGCAGCTGGTAGGGGTTCACAGCCACCAGGATGGAGCCTGTGTAGGTCTGTGGGCAACAAGGAACAGAGAGCTCATCCTTTCCTATGTGGGGGGCTCTGATTCTAGAAAGCTCTCAGGCTCTGCCCTACTCCGTCCCTCTGGAAGGCAGAGCACTGGCTTTGGTGTTGGAATCCTACCTCCCTATGAGCTGGGGGGGTGGGGGGAGAGTGTTGCAGGCAGCCGGCTTCAGGTTAGCATTGGGCCGGCTCAGAGTAGGTGCATAGAAACATTTGATGAAAGGAGGAAGCGGGGGGCGGGGGAGGGAAGGAGGGTCTCGAAGCCTCGATTTCCTTATGTTTATCTGTAAAATGGGTATAGTATAACTGTCTATGAAGATTAAAGAAGATGGTGGACTTTAAAATTCATAGCAGGTAATCCTCAAAGGCTGACTCCCACCTTTGCCTCCAAATCCTGCACCTCAAACTATGGGAGTGAAATTCACAAACTGGACCTTTCCAGAGTGGATGAGATGGGTAGGTGAGAAGGGAGTGGAACAAAGCCATCAAGAGCTAAAGGGGCTGGGTGGGTCCCCGTCTCTGCAGCACTGCCCCTGCACTCTGGGGAACAGAGCACCCCCACCCATCCTGGGTGGTGTGGGCACAGGGGCCAGACAGACCTCAGAGAGACTCCCGGGGGCGTTTCCCCTCCTAGAGCTCCTTGGTTAGTGCACCTGGGTGCAAAATTTCCTGCTGTGGACCCAGATCCTGCCACACAGGGCACAAGACCTGGTCCTCCTGCCTCCTGGTCACAGTGAGGCCCTCGGGGGTTACTTCTCCTTCTCCGCCCCCCACCGCTTTCCACTCCAACTGTAAAAGGTCATGCCCAGCGATCATTAGTGATGGATCTATTGACGTCTGAGCCCAGATGGGCTGAAGAAAGTTGTGAGTTTGCAGGGGAGGGATCAGCCCCATCCATCCCCTCCCACCCAGGGCCGCGGGCATCACACCAGAGCCACAGCCACACCCTGGCAGCCTCAGCCCCTAGGTGGCCATGCAGGGAAAGCGCTGCTGCCAGCACCGCATACCAGGCCAGTGCCCACCCCAGGGCCAGCTGTGCCATGCTAAGCAGCCCTGGTCTGGGCGCCCCAGACCCAGGCTTCCGTCCTACCAGACACCGCCCTTCTGAGCCCCAGAGGACCCTCCTCTCCCCTTCCTGGCTCTTCCTCTGAGTAGCCCATGCCAGAAGCAGCTGAGCTTCACCAGGCTGACCGCCTGACCATGTGCCAGAGCCCGAGCTGCAGGGATGGGGTGGGATAGGGAAGGAGGCTGGAGGGGAGCTGCCAGGCCAAGCACATACGGAGAGCGGGAGCCTGCTCTGTGCTACTCACCCGCCCTCCACAGTTGGTCTGAGGTTGGAAAGTAGGGAAAAAAAGAACTCATCAGTGGGAATGGGGTGATAAGGATCTTCAGCAGCAACACCCAACACAGCCCAGGTGAGTCCATTGGGCTGACTCCCCAGAGCAGGACCTGTCAACCTCTAGCCCCAGGCGGCCTCGGCCACTGTCCCCCACAGCTCAGCCTTGCCAAGCAGTGGGAATCAGCTAGATTATGGTCCCCAGGTGGGTGAGACAGCCACAAGAAACATCCCTGTGAATTTAGAAAGATGGTAACAATAACCCTATATGCAAGACAGCAAAAGAGACACAGATGTATAGAACAGTCTTTTGGACTCTGTGGGAGAGGGTGAGGGTGGGATGATTTTCGAGAATGGCACTGAAAAGTGTATATTATCATATAGGAAACAAACTGCCAGTCCAGTTTTGACACATGAGACAGGGTGCTCGGGGCTGGTGCACTGGGATAATCCAGAGGGATGGGATGGGGAGGGAGGTTCAGGATGGGGAACACATGTACACCCGTGGAGGATTCATGTCAATGTATGGCAAAACCACTACAATACTGTAAAGTAATTAGCCTCCAATTAAAATAAATAAATTTATATTTAAAAAATCTAACTTAAAAAAAAAAAGTGTCCCCAGGTGGGTGAGACAGCCACAAGAAACATCCCTGTGAATTTAGAAAGATGGTAACAATAACCCTATATGCAAGACAGCAAAAGAGACACAGATGTATAGAACAGTCTTTTGGACTCTGTGGGAGAGGGTGAGGGTGGGATGATTTTCGAGAATGGCACTGAAAAGTGTATATTATCATATAGGAAACAAACTGCCAGTCCAGTTTTGACACATGAGACAGGGTGCTCGGGGCTGGTGCACTGGGATAATCCAGAGGGATGGGATGGGGAGGGAGGTTCAGGATGGGGAACACATGTACACCCGTGGAGGATTCATGTCAATGTATGGCAAAACCACTACAATACTGTAAAGTAATTAGCCTCCAATTAAAATAAATAAATTTATATTTAAAAAATCTAACTTAAAAAAAAAAGAAAGAAACAGCCCTGTGGCAAATCAACTACTTCTCTAAGTCTGTCTGTTCATCTGTAAAAGGGGTATGGTTAACACCCACCTCCCAAGGCTGCTGTAAAGACCAAGGGCACAACCTTTGCCAAGTGCCTGGTGCAGAGCTGGCTGTCCGCAAGCACCTTCCTTTCTTCTGAGTATTTCCTTAATGGCAGGCACGGCTCTCAACCACTTGGCCCGTGATTGCCATGTGGTCTGCGGCTGACTCTGTGCTGGCATTCAAGAACCCTTCCCTGAGGCACAAAGGAAGGCTGACAGCCATACCTGGGTGCCCAGGAGGGAGAGCCTGGGGCCAAGGGGAACTCATACCAGGCACACGAGATGGAGAGGGTGCAGGGCAGGCAGAGGGCTCTCAGTGGGAATCAAGCACAGAGGCGTGAAAGGGCAGGGCGTTTGGGAAGATTGCTAGGGAAAGGTCACCCCGACAGCTGGGGAGGACAAATAGCAGTTACAGAGGCTGGAGGCAGATGCACTATTTCAAACCCAATGCACCGGTCAACAGCGGACTCAGAGCCAGACCGAGGTGGCCCTGAGGACAGGTCGGTGACCGAGCACAGGCAGGGGCAGTGCCAGAGAGGGCGCAGGTGCGCTGAGACACCACGAGGAGCCTTCCCGGGGTTGAGCCTGGACCCTTTCTCCCCATCACCCTTCCGTGGCCCTCTCTCCTCTGCCCACAGCCCAGCGGACCCTCCTGAGCACTAGGTCTCTCAGCCTTCTGCCCCCTGGACATCCCCACTTGATGTCCACCAGCCTGCCAAGACCACAGCCCACTCTCCACTCCAGCCCTGCTCCTCCTCTGCCTCCCAACTCGGCCAACAGTGCCACCACTGTTCTTCACCACCATCCTTCACCAGGGCGGGATGCTGCGGGAGTCGCCCCTCCTTCCTAACAACCCACTTCCCTCCACGGACATGGCCATGTTCCCGGCCAGGCACCTCCCCTCTGGACTCCCAGCTTTCACCATGCTCCCTACAATGTGTCCACCACTAGGAATCTGGGTCAGCTCTTTGAAAATCTGACTGTGTCATCCCCCTGCTAAAACCCTTCAGGAGGTTCCCCATGGCCTCAGGACAAAGTCCATATCCTTTCCCTGCCCACAAGACACCTGAGCCCTGGCCCCTGCCGGCCACAACCCACAGACAGAGGCTCTCTCCACATTAAACGCTCAGTTAAAAGCACCATAATCTATCCCCTGCCCCCTCACCCAACTCATGCCCGACCATTCCTTTGCATCCAAAAGATGACCGCTCCCTCCGCAGGAAGTCAGCACCCTCCCATGTGACCCATCACAGCCTGCCCGGCTCCTTTCACTTGACCATCTGACTCCTCCATAATTCTGGCTCAAGGCCTCTGGCCTGTCCTCTCTACCTGAGGTCAGTACTATCCACAGTGCATAGGACATGCTCAGCACATGTTTGGTGAGTGAATGGAAGAGTGACTAAATTAATGGATGGAGAAGAAATTCACTGCTGTCCACAGGAAGCAGCAAGGAAGGGAGCTAAGGGGTCAAGCATTAGTTGCTCAGTCATGTCTGACTCTTTGCAACCCCATAGACAATAGCCCGCCAGGCTCCTCTGTCCACGGAATTCTCCAGGCAAGAAGGCTGGAGTGGGTTGCCATGCCCTTCTCTAGGGGATCTCCTGGAGATCTGCATTTCAGGCAGAGTCTTTACCATCTGAGCCACCAGGAAAGCCCGTAAGGGGACACACCTGTCAGCAATACTGTGGCAGCCCTGCCTGTGCTGATAGGAAGGATGGCCCGGGGCTGTGGCTAGTGGAAAAGCACACAACAGTGTGTGGAGCAATGCTATCACATGTATAGGAAAAAAAATTTAATTATATGTATAATTTAATATCACAGATATCATATATATATATAAAATCTTTCTCTTGAACGATAGATAAGAAGTTAGTAGCAGTGGTTGTGTCCGTGGCAGAAGGAACACTTTCCACTCTGTAGCACCTGTACTCATTTCAAACTAAACAATGAAAAAGCCTCTTCCTTCAGAGAGAGGATGCACACCAGCAGAGGAACAAGGACATACCCCCTGCCAGGCGCAGGACCTGGCAGCTCCCAGGCCACTGCTCTCTGTACTGTCGGAAGGCCCCTGTGAGGTGTAGTTATGACGCACCTTCTCAGATGGGAGAACTGAGCCTCCAAGAAGGGGCGGGACTTGCCAAGGTCACACAGCAGGTAAGTGGGGGTTGGGATAACGGAAGGACCCTGGCACCAGAGCCCCAGCTCTCACCTCCCCACCTGGACTCCCCCAGATCCCAGGGGTTCACCTGCAAGACTGTGGGGCTGGTGGTAGGGGAGGGAGAAGAAGTGAGGGGCTTGGCCACTGCTGAGAAGGAGACTCAAGCTTCTCTCTGCACCTCAGCACCTGTCCTCCGCCTTAGGCTCTGGGCACTGCTCTCTGAGCCCCTCTGGCCCTGTCTCTCCAAGGCTTCATGGTAAACAGGGTTAATGTCCACTCCCCAACACTGGCATTTTGTCAAGTCTCCAGTGATAAAGCCCACCCTGTGGGGCCATGGGCTGGGGTAGGGAAGAGATAAGAACTATTCCTGAGTCAAGGACATAGCACACAGGTCCCTAGGGGGCCCCAAGTTCCAGGTGGAGATCAAGGAGCCTCTCTTAGGTCAGAGACACACCCCAGGAGATATGGTAGGAATCCACCTCCTCCTCTGGGAAACCCCGGGGCCTGCTATCCCTCAGGCCTTCTGCTTAGCAGGCCATGGAGACTAAGATACACATGCTATACCAATGTCACAGAGCTACTCACCCCATTGTACCAAAGGGGTGACAGAGACCAGAAATGGGTAGGGATTCCCCAAAGGCCACCTGTCAAAACCTGGACCCAGGCCTCCCAGCTCCCAGACCAAAGCTCCAGTTCCTGCTCAGCATCAGCCCTGCCACCTGTTCCCTGAAAGACCCAGCAATGACCCCTGGCCTCTGGGACCACCCGATGAGAGGCTGCTGTTTGCTGTTTAGTCACTAAGTCATGCCTGACTCATTGCAACCCCATGCACTGCAGCCCACAGGTTCCTCTGTCCATGGGATTTCCCATGCAAAATCCTGGAGTGGGTTGCCATTTCCTTTTCCAGGGGATCTTTCCAACCCAGGAATCAAACTCATATCTCCTGCATTGGCAGGTGGGTTCTTTACCACTGAGCTACCAGGGTAGCTCATGTAAGGGGTACTTTGAGGATTAAATCAGTTAATTCATGTAAAATACTTAACAACAGTGCCTAGCAGAAGTTGAAGACTCAATAAAAGTTATTCATGGTAGTATTCTTCTAGAAATTAAAAATGCTGCCCTATCTGTGTGCTAAGTTGCTTCAATTGTGTCTGACTCTTTGCAACCCTGTAGACTGTAGTCCGCCAAGCTCCCCTGTCCATGCAATTTTCCAGGCCAGAGCACTGGAGTGGGTTGCCATTTCCTCCTCCAGTGGATCTTCCCAACCCAGATATCAAACCCACATCTCTTAGGTCTCCTGCATTGGCAGGTGGGTTCTTTATCACTAGTACCACCTGGGCACTAAAATTACACTAAAACAAAAAGATTCATTTCTGCCATATTACTCAGATACATACAGTAGAGATTAAGAGAAAACTGCTCTAAACCTCACTCATCATATAGTATCAATACTATAAGCAACCAACATCTCAATCTCACAAAAAAGTTTACTAACCCAGTACTAAGTACTTGTCTGACTCAATAGAAGCACACTGTGACTTTTGGTATATTTGATATATCCTGAGTATTTGATATAGTGATCAAATGCAGAATCATGAACAAGCATATAACCCCTTCTTCAGAAGTTAACTGATACTTGGTGGAATCAATGCTACCATAGTCTGAGCTCACAATACTACTGTAAATTACTCTGTAAATTATCTTACACTTGAAATTAACAAATACTAACCATTCCCACTGCATCTTGGTCAAAGGGATTCCAGTCCACATTCTCAGGATATTGTGCAAGGACCTTAGACTTGAATGTTTGTCTCAGTGGTGTCTGCTCAAAATTTTTGCCTTCAGTTGAGAGGTTACTAGGGGTCCTCCGAGGGCTCTGCCCCACTTAGGGTGCCTGGGGCTAACTTACGGTCCCGGGGTGCTATCCCTCAGGCTCCTGGGGGCAGACCAGCTGGAGCAGGCAAGTCCTGGGCAGACAGTCAGGGACAGAGCCTCCTCCAGGCCCAAGACTATGAGTGGCAGTGGTAATCTGAGGAAATCCCAGGTGTGTAGGGCTGTACCCAGTGTAACCTAAGCCATGAAGTGATCAGGGTTGCCATGGTTAGGGACAGGTACGGTTTCTGGGTGGGACAATAACCCAGCTGCTTCTTCAAAGCCCTGGTCTAATCCTACTTCATTCACTCAGTCACAGAAGCATAGAGTCAGCAAGTCAAGGAAACCCCCTTGAGCCCTGCAGCTCTGGAGCGCAGGACCCTGCACCAACAGACACCCCGAATCTTAGGTCCACAGACTACTCAAGCTGGGGACCTTCCAGGTGCTGTGGCTGGATTTCTGACCGTGAGTCTCTGAATGGGAAAGAGAGCTTAGGTACCTCATCTGGGCTCCATCCCCATGCCCTCCCCACCCCCACTTCCTGTCCCTCACCCTAAAATCAATCAGAAAGGTTACTAGCAAAACTTCTAATAAGGCAAATGGCGCAGACCTCAGGGTTTTCTGGAGAATCCATAAATCTCTGGAATTCTTTCATTTGATCCCATAGTCAACCTAGGTAAGGCCATAATGTCCAGGCTGATTTCTTTCCTGACTGGCCCCTAATCACTCACAGAAGATTAGTCAGTCATGTCCAACTCTCTGTGACCCCATGAACTCTAGCCCACCAGATTCCTCTGTCCACGGAATTCTCAATGCAAAAACACTGGAGTGGGTTGCCATTCCCTTCTCCAGGGGATCTTCCTGACCCAGGGATCCAACCTGGGTCTCCTGCATTGCAGGCATATTCTTTACCATCTGAGCCACCAGGGAAGCCAGCTAATTAGTCTACTCTGAAAACATAACAAACCAGATTCACTGATCTGGGACTTTCCTGAACTTTTGGGCAGTCCAGTGGTTAAGGCTCTTCCAATGCAGGGAGTGCAGGTTCAACCCCAAGTGGGGGAATTAATATCTCACATGCTGTATGGCGCATCCAAAAAATAATAATAATAATAAGATTTACTTATGCCATACTGCCTAAAGTTTTTTCCTCTCTTCTCCCTTTTGGATCCTGTTTTTGCCTTTGTTATTTGAATCAGTCTACCAACCAACTCCCTCACGTATGAGAAACCAGTTTGTCAGCAAAATCACTAAACTGTGTGCAAAATAACCAACTTCACGCCTCAGAGTTACTCTTAGACATGGTCTGCGGGGTCCCTGGTGGAGACCACCGCCACTCAGCTCCTTCCTGTGAAAGTCTCCCCAACAGGAGACTGCGTCAGGACACGAGCTCTGCAGTAGCCTCCCTGGGAAGGTAGGTGGGCAGGCTCCCGCTCATCTCCAGACCCAAGTATCAGACTCTACCCCGGCCTGGGTGAGAGGTCACAGAGAGTCTCAGGCCCTCCTGTGTCCACCTGCTATCCAAGGAGAGGAGGGGGCAGGGAACTGCCAAGAACTGGGGTGTTGACACCAGTGGTCACATGGGGTTTCTCTGGCCTGGGCTCAAGTCCTAGCCCCACCCCACTGTCTGGGTGATGCTGCTCATATCTCGAGCTATCATCATGTCCTGCCCTCTGGATGAGGGAAGGAGTAAAAGGGGCTTTGTCAGTACTAAGGGGCTCCTGAGGAAGCTGCTGTCTCTGCCTACACAATCAACACATGTCCAGGGCCAGAGCACAGCTTGAGAGCCCAAGGCTGCAGAAGGACCCAGAGTGGGGAGGCTGGCAGAGGGTCTCCCCAGCAGCTGAGCTGTCACAGTGCCGGGGCTTTGGGGGGCCCTGAGAGCTCCTTGTTGTGCTTCCTCAGGCTCCCTCAGACTCTCCTGGCCCTGGCTCCTTGTCACGGTCCTGACAGCTCGCTTGCCTGGCATGGTCCTGCCTCAGGCCTTCTGATCGTGCAGTGCCCCTTCCCGAATGCCATCTCTCCTGGCATTCAGGAAGGGAGCTGGGAGTGAGGCCTCCCTTTCACAGGNCTCGCTTGCCTGGCATGGTCCTGCCTCAGGCCTTCTGATCGTGCAGTGCCCCTTCCCGAATGCCATCTCTCCTGGCATTCAGGAAGGGAGCTGGGAGTGAGGCCTCCCTTTCACAGACCCTGTGTGACCAGCTCCGCACTTCTCCCAGGCACTCGTCACCCCACCTCTCCTCAGCGTGACTGGCCTGGGGACCTGCCTCAGGGGGTTCCCGCCAGCGCTTTCTTTGTTGCACATCCATGGCTTCCTCTGCTCCTGAGCTGCTCAGGCCAGGGACATGCAGTGACCCCAGCACACAGCTCTACAACTCAGCCTTGTGAAGACTGTTTCCCGCTCTGTAAAATGGGACTATAGGGCTAGATCAGCCATTCTCAGAGAAGGCTGAGATCCCTGAGGAACCCCAGGATCCTTTCAGGAAGTCCATAAAGCCTTGTCTTTTCCACCAGCATATCTGTGAGGCCAGATTTTCTTCATACACTTCAGCCAAAGCAGTATCACATCAGTATGGATGTGTGGCAGAGAATCAGGTTGTCTTCCATTGAGTTGGCCAAAAAAATTCACTTGGGTTATATGTAAGATGTTACAGAAGCAAACAAACTTTTTGGCCCACCATAATATTCAGTCAGATACTAAAGATATTTGAATTTTAAAAACTGTAAAACAGTGCCACTCTTCTCATTAATTTTTTTATACTGACAAGTTTATTTTCTTAAAAATATGCTATATTATTCTGTAATGGATTTTTGTGGTTATTTTTTTAATGAATTAATAATTTTAAATGTCCTGGTTATAATTTGTAATATGGTAAATATCAATAGATACTACATACATAAACAAAAGCTCTTTGAGGCCCTCAATAAAATTTAACAGCATAAGGGGTTCCTGAGGCCAAAAAGTGTGAGGATCTTTAGACTAATGGTCTCAATGGGACCATCTTGTCCTGATGGTCTCTGAGGTCACCTCTTGGAATCAACTCAGTCCTAGTTGAGTGAGATGCTCTTATTTGTCATCATGAATTTCAAGGTGAGGAAATGTGGCGTGTGTGTATGACGGGTTCTAGTTTCAAGGTTTTGGGGGATCCGGGAGCATGTTCCATCCTTCATCCCCTTCCTGAGGATACAGACTTCCAACCCATCCTCCTCTTGACCTTGAAAGACCCATGGCAGGTCCTGATCCCACCACAAACCCAGGGAAAGCTGCAGATCCCCCATCCCTGGGCAAAGCACTGAGCCTGTTGCCCTCCCTTGACTGGTCTGGCCTCCCAGCAGTTTCAGCAGTCTCCCTACAGAGGCACAGGAACCTGTGGGAAAAACTTTCCATTCCGCAATCACAAACCACACAAGAGTCAGTCGATCAGTCGTGTCGGATTCTTTGTGACCCTATGGACTGTAGCCCGCCAGGCTCCTCTGTCCATGGGATTCCCCAGGCGACAATACTGGAGGGGGTTGCCATCCCGACCAAAAGTGAGGATAAGCCACAGACAGAGCGGCTGTGGGCAAGGGCTGAGTCCCTGATCCCCCAGGCCAGCTGCAGAGGCGGGGCGGTGCTACACGTGGAGGGACCGGAGGTGGGCGGGGCGGCTGGCAGGTCGGGCAAGACTCACGTAGATGAGATGGTCTCGGTATCTAATGAGCAGGTTGCGCAGGATGCCAGCTTCATTGAGGTCCCCCAAGCGGATCATGTCCTCCACGCCGTGGACCGACGTGGGGTGCATGGGCTTGATGTGCGTGGCGTTCTGCGGGGAGATCCAGTGTTCCTGCGGAGATGCACAGTGGCTAACGTCAGCTTGTCCTCCTGAGACTCAGGCTACACTCTGCCAGGGAAGGGAACCCCGGATATCTGCCACCCTATAAGGGCCTCGTCCTCTGCTGCGCCAAACACTATCGGTTCTAACAGGTTGACTCCCACGAGTAAAAGTGATACCGCCCACCCTTAACCTCCGTGGAGCACTCTTCCTCCTCTTCGGGAATTCTCTCTGCAGACCTTACATGTGGGCATGGCAGGGACTTTGGTCCTACCTTGCGGCTGTCATAAAAGGGATTAGTCTCTCCAGTCAGTTTATAGGATGGAGTGAAAAGTGTAATAATTGGAGTTAGACTTCAAATCCAAACTCCAGTAAACTGGAGTACAAAAAGTTACTCAGATGGTGCAACACTGTTGCACTATCTGCCTGCTGCCACGGGGTGGCAGATGGTGCACATCTGGGCAATAGCCTTGGCTTGTTCATAGAGCTTGCAAAGCCCTGGTTTCCTCTGACCGCTGGAATCCTCCCCTCCCCTCGGAGGTCTCCAGCACCCTCTACTTAACATTCCTCACCTCTCAGAGAAATGGAAATCACTCCTGTGCTCTGTGGTATGGCTATAACCTGAGTCAAACCTCCAAAGACCTCTGGGTCCCTCTCTCTATTCCCAAAGGCTAGAACCATAGGAGCCTGAAGACCAGGCAGGAATCAGGGTTCCCACGGCTGGGTCAGGGCCTCCTCTCAGCCCCCACACACCCCGGGTCTCCCACTGAAAGGCAGTAGTCACACTGGGTTACCATTGTGTGAACACAGTTCTGGCCCTGACCCCTCAATTTTCCCCAAGGCTGGGCGGTTAGCTTCCATGTTTGCTATAGCCTGGTTCACAGTACTTCAAACAGGGGCCAGGCACAGAGTCGGGGCAGAGAATCCCTGATGAACAGATGGCTGACTTCTGACTACTAGGAACCAAGTCTGAATTAAAAGCCAAGTCCTAGTCATGGAGAGACCCCACAAGTCCCCTATTCCAGCTTCCTTACTTCACGTGAGAAAACAGGATCAGAAGACCAAGCCCCTCAGAGAGCTCAGGGACAGGCTAGCCATTGCCAGTAACTCCAGTTTCCCTGGCATTGCAAGGCACTTCCTGGGCCAGGGGCATTGCATTCCAGGTCAGGCCCTCACACAGCCCTGACGTGAATGGGCTGGATGGTGAGATCAGAGAACCCTCCTAGACTTTCCAATCCTGGGTGGAACATTCCTCTCTTCCACCCCATTTCTTGATAAAAGTTGATCCAGTTGGAAAATTCCCTTTCCCTATTTTGGTCCTAGGCCCTAGCATGGGTCAGAGGGGACAGGATGCCAGGCAGGCTGTCTGCCTTCCCCACTTGACCCCAGCCTCTGTTTCCATAATTCTTCTACAGGACACTTCAGCCCAGAGTTAAGAGGTAGCTCAGCCTCCACAAGACCTGTAGCCCTGTGCATGTCAGTTTGCTTCCTTGAACTATGAAATGGGGATCCTCATCTATGAAATGGGGATGAGAATAACAATCCCCTTTTCTTAGGGATGTTGGGAGGGTTAATAGATATGATAATGGTCAACTTTTGTTTCACTCCTGCCAGGTCTAAAAAGCCCTAGTACCTGGTAACTGATCAACCAGTCCTGGGTATTATCACTCTAACGCCTTCTAGTTTTTGTTGCAAAACAGATGTATATTCTCATTTGTTCCTCTTAACATTGCATCATGGAATTACTGGTCCTGTTTTACAGTGAGGCGGTACACTGGAGAGGTAAAGTGCTCTGCTCAGTTAAATGGCAGAGCTGAGCCTCTCCCCACTCCTTTCCTGCATGGAGAGTCACCCAGCTGAGGTCAGCACCCCTCAGGTCAATGTCCACAGACAGCTACGACACAGACCAAAGTGTAACCAGGGCAGAAACTGAGGCTTGGCCCTGAAGGCAAACCAGTGAGAGACAGAGAGGGCCTGGGGATACATCTGGGAAAGAGCTGACCTGGCAATGAATTCAGAGAGACAGGGACCATGGGCTCTGCAGAGAAGGGGAAGAAGGGGTATATCTGGCAATGAGCACAGCTTGGACAAAAGCAGAGTATTAGGACTTCAGTGAAGATGGGAACCATGGCCTCTCATTCATTAAGCACATCTTCATAGAGAAACTTCTCTAAGGAGAGCTTTGTTGTGCTCCAGGTAACCAGATATGACTCACCTGGCCTCAGATTGGGGGAGTCTGTGGCAGAGAGGTCAAAGATGATAGCTTGGAGGTGGATGGGGGAGGTAATGGGAGTGGGAAAAGCTGGTGAAAGAAGAGGGCAGAAGCCCCCCCGGGGCCCACGCCACCGAAGCAAACGCAGGCCCCATCCTGCTCCCAGCCAGTCGATCACATTCCTCCCTGCACTGCAGCCCCCATTCTCAAGGCCTCTGTGGGGGCGAGTGGGAGTGGATCTCTGGGATCTGGTAACACAGTTACGGGACACCATCTGACATGCAACATGACCCAGGTGAAACTCAAGCCTGCAGGCAGAGTCCCTGGGCCCCACCCCGGGGGTTCCAGGCTGGTTCCTGGACCTGTCTGTGCTGTCAGCCAAACCCGGGTGCCCCTTCTGCGCCTGCAACCTCACAGGAGCTTCCTAGAGGGCCCTGGAACTGGAGCCTCTGGGATGACACTGCAGGCACTTTGCTTGTTAAGCCCAGGGGGCAAAAGTGTGGTTAACAGAACTTGAGCTCTAAAGTCACCACTGAGATGTTGGGAGAGGAAACACACACACAAAGGCCAGAGGCCCTGGATCCCGGCCCCTCACGGCAGCATCCCTCACTAGCTGTGTGAGTGGGCCTGGGGTCCCTCTCTGAACTCCAGTTTCCCCTTGAGGTCACAGAGGCTGTTCTCCCTGCCTTTCACACACACTGTGAGGACTTAAAGACAGAACCTGGGTCAAAAGGCTTTGCAAACCCCAAGGCTGGTATCTCTGGAGGCTGCAAAGATAATAGTGATGCCCCCACCTTCTCCATGGCCCTTACTGGGTCTCCAGGGTCCTGAGCCCGCCCCAACCCTCAACAGAGCCTTCTTCTCCAAGTCACAGCACCCTTTCATGTCCATCAGACTCAGAGGCTAAGACAGGACAGTCTCTATGTCCCTAGCGCCACCCACAGCATTGGGTACAACCCAAATTACGGTAAACTGAATTTCCCCAGTCTCTCACGTCTCTGCCAAACCGCAACCTTGTACTCCGCACCATATTTACACATGCCCCCACCACATACACATGTGCCATGCCCATGAACACACATCCAGAGTTCCCAGGCTTCCCCTCATCTGGGCCACCCACCCACCTTCTCTAAGGCAGGACCCTGACTTTAGACTTTTCCTTCCGTCCCCAAGGCCCCACTCTCACTGCTTCTGAAATTTATACTTCTGTGTCCCTTTCCTTCAGGGTCACAAGAGATAAAGGGTTCAACTGTTAGACTGATTTCCAGGCAGCACTGGGGTGGACAGTGTTATAGCATTCATCTGATGCTATAACCCCGCAGAAGCAGACTGGTTGTTTTCAGAGCAATCTCTCCCTTTTCTGAGTCATTCAAGTGTGATCTCATGTATGAGTCAATACCCCTGTGAGATAGTTGTTAGAGATAGTATCTCCATTTTACAGAAGGGGAAACTGAGGTTCAGAAGGGAAAGAGATTTGGTCAAGGTTGCACAGCTTGGGCATCAAGTGGGCAGGATGGGATTTGANAAGGGAAAGAGATTTGGTCAAGGTTGCACAGCTTGGGCATCAAGTGGGCAGGATGGGATTTGAATCCAGTCTCTCTGACCCCAAAGCATCTCTGAACCTGAGGAGCTCCCAGCCTAGTACCACCTCCCTGCCCCCACCATATACACTCGCACGTCCACACAGACACAGATCTCTAATACCACGCAGAATGGACTGAAGTACTCACGGAAATTAGAACAAATATTCTGGGGCAGAAAGGGAGGTCCCCTCTCACGGGGGCCATCGGGAAAGCTCCATGGAGGAAGGGAGCTCTGAGAGGCAGAAGTGGGGCCCAGGAGCTGTCTCCTTCCACCTGAGGCCAGTACCTGCTAGGTCCCTGCATCAGGTCACTGTAAGCCTGCGTCCTTGTCAAGGCACGGGGGTGGGATGGTAACAGGCTACTCACATTGCCTTCATCGTCCACCACCTGGATCTGCCCAGAATCACAGAGCTTCACCACCGCGCCGATGGGCACATCAAACTCCTGCCCAGATCTCAGGTCCATCCAGACGTAGTCGCCCTGTGGGTGAGGGTCCCAGGTGAGCAGAGAGGGCCATCAGGAACGCCTTCCAAGCAGTGCTGTGCCCACCCCCTACCACCAGTATCTCTTGTGCCAACCACAGAAGAGAGAAGAGAACCAGCACTTGTGGAAGCCCTGGCGCCTGGTCCTCGGCTGGGCACTTATACAGTGTCGTGACTGTCCCCAGTTTACAGATGAATAAGCAGAGGCTCAGAGAGGTGAACAGCTGAGACCACACAGCTGGGCAGCTTCAAACCCAGGCCTGGCCGAAGCCCAGCTCTCCCCAAGGCTCCACATCACATGCAGGTACAGTAGACTCATTGAGGTTTAGGCAGAAACACTGAAGGACCCAAACCACTTCCCCTCCGTCCTAAAGGAGGGGTTCCCCTGGACATTCAAACAGCCTCCATCACCTCCAAGGTCAACACTCACAGTCACAGCTATGACTTCCCTGCCGTGACACTGCTGGGCCCCGTGACACACACGGACATCACTGTCAGCCACACTGTCCCCTGGCTTGTGGGGACAGCCCGACCTGGGGCGGTGGAGCGTCACATCTGTGTCCCTCGCGGCATCTGGCACAGGGCCTGGCTCTCACTACACGCTCAGTGAGCATGCACAGAAGCCACATCTACAGCCCAGAGTCAGAGAAAGGACTTAGAAGAACCACCTTTCAGCACTGGCATCAAATACGCATGTACTGAGCACCTACTGGGTACAAGGCACTGATGGATCTAAATGCTGGGGATCAAGCAGTGAGCGTGGAGTCCACATCCTAGTTGGGAGGAGCCAGAAAACAAACTGAGGAAGTACGTTTGGGTTGGAAGGAGGCAGAAAACAAAAAATTGAGCAAGTCACAGTCACTTGGGATGGCTGTAGTGTGGTGATGACAGTGAGCACCCCAGTGCTGGAAAATGACCAAGCCAGCCAAGCGGAGATTCAGTAGCTGGGGAAGCCACTCTGGAGGAAACCTCTGAACAGAGACCTGAAGGGTAAGAAGCAGACAGGTGAGGAAAGAGCAAGGGTAGAAATCTGGGCAGAGGAAATGACAAGGGCAAAGGCCTTCAGGCAGGAAGGAAGGACTGATAGGAGAGAGGTGGGGAAGAACCAGGACTCATAGACTCTTATTCACCTGGACGTAAAAGCTTGGATTTTATTCTAATCTTAATAAGAGTGTTCTTTTTGGGTGATTCCCAAATTCCCTAGAGGGTAAAAGAGCCTGGACATTCTAATAAAAATATGAAGTGGCAGTTAGAAACGTAACAGCTGCTAAAATTGATTCACAATGAAATGAGCCCATGAGAATGGCCCAGTGGAAATAGATCTGGGCTATGAGACTGGGTTTGGGGACCTGCTTGGGACCTCAGACAAGTCCCTGACCTCTTTGAACCTCAGTTTCCACATGCCTCAGTGAGGGGTGAGCTCGTTGAGTACCAAATCCAACCTGTCACTGTTTCGGCTTCCTGTTCCCATCAGAACCAACTACTTTTCAGCCCCAGTTGACACTATGAACTTCCCTTCGTGGGAGGTCAGCACATGTTAGAAACAGGCTAGCTGCAAACCCAAGCTTTCTCCCAGAAAAACTAAGAAAATTTGGAGAGCCTCTGGGAGGAGAGGAGAACTCATGTGTTTGCTGTGTATCTACTGTTGCCCAGGCCTTATGGTTGTTCCCCATAAACTGCCCTATTTAGTGCTGCTGACTGCTTTAATCCCAAATCCAAGCTGTGCTTCCTGCCACACTCCTCGCCCTCTCTAAGTGCTGACCCAGGACCGCCAGACACACCCCTGCTCAGACTGTNTCTTACACTGTTGGTGGGAATGCAAATTAGTACAGCTACTATGGAAAACAGTGTGGAGATTTCTTAAAAAGCTGGAAATAGAACTGCCATATGACCCAGCAATCCCACTGCTGGGCATACACACCAAGGAAACCAGATCTGAAAGAGACACGTGCACCCCAATGTTCATTGCGGGCCAGTTTCATTCCAGACTCTGGGGACAGAGCAGTGAAGGGAAAGCAGAGGGTCTAGTAAGGGGAGCTCCAGGTTGATGTTAGATGAGGGGGCACTCGGAGAATGTGGGCAGCGGGCACATAGGGCCCCGTGAGCCATGGACGGAAGTTGGACTTTAAATAGGACAAGAAGCTATTGGAAGGTTTTAAAGCAGGAGAGGATAGCACGATGCCATTTTTAAAAACGTCATCCTGAGAAGAGAACCCAGGAGTTCCTCCAGACTCCAGGGCCCCTGGGCTTGCCCCTTACAGCCAGCACCAGGCTGGGTCATCATTGTGTGTGCCCACCCTTTGCTAGCCTGCAGCCCCATGAGAGTGGGGCTGATCTGAGTCTTCCATCTGTGTTTCCCCAGAACCAAACATAGAGAAACTCTTTCTCTCAATGAGAGAGAGAATCAGAATGTGAGAGTGTGTGTGTGTGTGAGCATGGGTGTGTAAGAGGGAGCACATGACAGAGTTCATGTGTGTGAGAGAGAAAAAGAGAGACTACCTGATTCCCAGAGGCTGGCAGTGGCGGGAAGTGGCACCAGGACATTGCTCTCTGCACACTCAATACCCCTGCAGCAGGCCAGGTAGTGACTGACACGCTTTCCTGGAATTAACCATCTCATTGAAACTCATGACAATGCTTCGACAGAGGATTCCACCTCTACTTTATCTCCTCAAAGAGGTCAAGACCCATGCCCAAGGTCACACAGGTGTTTTGTGGTAGAACCAGAAATGAAGCCCAAGACTGGCAAACTCCAAATCCAGTCCTATCTCCCAACCACCCCACCCTAGGTCCCCGCCCTGAGCCCAGTTCTGCAAGCAGAATAGGAAGCATGAATAGGGTTCCTGCCTCGAGACGCTTAGTGGACCCAAAATGCAAACTGGAAGCTCCAGCTGGGGGGCACCAAAGCAAACAGAAGTGACTTTAGAACCCTCCTAGCCAAGGACTGTCATCAGGAGAACAATGACTTGATTTTCTCTTCTCTTGATCTGAACTTGAGGAAAGAAGCAAAAACGGCAGCTAAGAGGCTTCCAAGAGGATTTGTGGGCCTGAAAACCTCTGAGAAGACAGTTCCCACTGTCCCATGGAAAGTACTTGGGGCATGAGAATGCAGCTGGATTGTAAGGGTCCCCATTTTACAGATGAGGAAACTGAGGCCCAGAGAAAGTAATTTGGCCACTCATCAAATCAGTTACTCATGAGACTGCAAACAACTGCAGGGCAGAGTCAGATCCCAAAACAAGGTGGATCAGGAAATGCTGGTGGGTAAAGGAAGGAGGGAAGATGTAAAAGAACACGACACTTTTTTGAGGGGTGGGAGGAGAGGAAAGGGGCATTGGGCTCAGGTCTAACCCCACTGGCTTCTCCCCACAGCCAGACTCCAGGCAGCCCGTGACTGCATCTGGCCCCATTCCTACAACCCTACCACCCCACTGTCAGGAGAACCCCATTAGGGAGCTTTCCTGGAATCAAAAGTTCCATTTGTGAGACTCCTGCCCCAGCGTGGCTGTGTAAACTGGAGAAAGTAACAGCTTCTCCACGGTGGGATGAGCAGCTCCCAGCCCCCACACAGTGGCTTCCTAGATGGATTTGCCTAAATGTCCTCAAGGATACTTCACAACCTTAGCCCACATCCACCACAAAAACATGGTAAAGAGTTCTGGATTCAGGTCCCAGTTCTGCCACCAGTGCTGTATGACTTTGGCTAAGTCTTTCCATCTCTCTGGGTCTTAGTGTTCCCCAACTTTAAAATGAAAGAAGTCAGTGCTTGGGAAGATAAGAGACCTGTGCAAAGAGGCGTTGTCCTTGATGTCCACTTGCCTTCCCCCTAGGCGTGAACCCAGGATCTGAGCAATACTGACTCCCCCCCAAGGCCTTAGTCTTATGTGCCTCTTTCCTCCCCTGGGGAAGGGTCTGAGGTTCAGGCCCTGTTTGTGGAATGAAAACGAGTCTGTTTTAGGACATGTCCCCCCCTCTCCCCCACTTAGGGGCTTCCCCGGTGGCTCAGCAGGTAAAGAATACCCTGGCGCAATGCAGGAGACCGAGGAGACGAGGGTTCGATCCCTGGATGGGGAAGATCCCCTGGAGAAGGGCATGGCAACCCACTCCAGTATTCTTGCCTGCAGAATCCCATGGACAGAGGAGCCTGGCGGGCTACAGTCCGTGGGGTCGCACAGACTCTGACACGACTGAAGAGACTGAGCAAACAGGGCATCCCCTCCTTTATCCTCATAGTCACTCTGGGACACTGGTGGTCTTAGCCCTGTTTTCACAGGTGGGAAAGATGGTCCGACTGACTTGCCAGCGGGGTGGGTAAGTAAGGAAGTGTTCGGTTGCTAACCTTCAATGAAGGAGGGGCCTTGCGGGCCACACTTTCCTTCCACCAGCCGGTCAGCCAGCCCACAAACGTCCACCGAGCCCCCTCAGGGCACCTGGAGGCGCTTCCTGCTCTGGACCAGGGCAAAGGCAGGGAATCCCCTCCTGGGCACCTCCCGTTTTCCAGCAGCAGAAGCTCCCGGCTCGGAGGGGAAGCGAGCGGGCCAAGTGCACTTTGGGCACGGGAGCATCGGAGGATCGGAGTCTGTGTGCACCCTGGGGTTTTGCGACCCTGCGGCCCGCCCGGCTTCTAAAAGGCGCGTCCTCCCCCCTCTGGCCTGGGGCTCACCGGCAGGACCGCGTATGTCTTCAGCGCCCGGTTCAGGCTGCGCACCAGCGCCCACTTGCCCTTGCCCGGCTGCTTGGCGCGCGCCTCGGCAGAGTCGCCGGGGTCTGCGGCGTCCGCGGGGTCGGCGGGGTGGGCGGGGGGCTCCATGGCGCCCAGGGCCTGGTGGCGGCCGGCTACAGCGGCAGCACGTCTCGGGCTCCCTAATTCACCTAATCCCGTGCGCACCGCCCGCCAGGGAACCCTAAACCCAGCCATCTGCCGCGGGCCCATGGCAACGGCGGCTTAGGTGACGCCTGCTGGCGGCAACGGGGAGGGGGCGCCCGGGCGCTTTGCCCCCTGCTGGCTGGACCCCGACCACCTGACGTCACCGGGGATTCCCGGCGGCCTCGCTGGGACCGCAGCCTGTGGCGCCCAGGAGGCGTAAAAGAGGGCCCTGGAACCTCACCTTGACTGTAGTTTTGAAGAAAATCAGTGTATTTTCTACAGAAAGAAACTTGGGGCTGTTTTGGAATAGAATGCAATACACTTAGTGAATTTTTTAAGTCTAAAGGCGAGGGACATCAAAGATCTTTCTGGTCCCATGACTGGCTCTGGGGAGTGAGGGTGGAAACAAGTGTTGAAGTTGGAGGGGGCTCTGTGGGGAAAGCCTGGAAGAGTCTGTCTCTGGTCCTCCTGCACCCTCCCGGGCTACCCAGCGGGTGATCTCCAGCTCAAAGAGGAGGCACTGAGGCCTCCTGGAGGCCCCTGGTCCCCAGGACAGCCAGCCACCTCCAAGGGCTCAGACTCACCCGGCAGTGGGCATCAAGTCGGGCTCCTGTGTCCCGGCCACCACACAGGCTCCGCTCCATGCTGGACTGCAAGCCACAGCGGCCACCGTCCACCAGAAGGCATGGGATGCCCAGGCCCCGCGACTCTCCTCCTACACCTGCCTTCTCCGCTCTCCCTGCCTAGCTTTATCTTCCCCCCTTTTCTCCTACGCACTCTTCAAGGTCTCAATTTTGGCCCTCAGCATTGTCTGGAACTCTGGATGACCCAACCTTCTGCTCTAGACAAGCAAACCAGGGCAGAGAGCTGGGGAATGGCAAGGAAGGAGATAGCAATGCCTCACACAGAACCCAGAGCTGCCCCTCCGGACCTGACCTTCCTTCTACCCCCATCTCCGTTCCAGCCTTGAAGACCCAGCACTCTGCCACCCAGCACACAGCTGACTGACTGCAGTGATTCCCAGCTATTTCCTGGGCCCCCTCAGGGACGCTGCTCTCAGGGGTCCTTCCCCGACTTAAGCCCAGAACAAGCACACGTACCAGCCCACCCCACCCCTGCCCACCCACCCAGGGGAGTTTGTGGAAACAGGAACCAGACCCTAAGACACATAGGGAGGGCTGGGGAATGGGCTACTATCCTTCCATCTGTCCATTTAACCAACCTTCATAGGCTCAGACTCAGGCTTAGGGGATACCATCCTCAGAGTTTCCAGCCTGGGGGATGGACAGACCCAGACACAGATTAGGATAGTACCGCCAGATGAGGGACAGTTCAACCCTGGAGAGACAGGATTGCATGACTGCTAAGAGGCTGGGCTCTAGAACCAACACCAGTTTAATGCTGGCAAGGCCATTCAAATGCTGTCGGACCTCGGGCAAGTTCCTCAACCTTTCTGTGCCTTCCTGTTATTTTTAGTTCAATGACAGTTTAACAATACCTCAGGAGGTGCTTGTGAGGATTAAACAGGTTGTCTATAACTCAGGTCAGTGCCTGTTAGAGCAAATTCTGTATGAGTACTGGTTATTATTAACTGAGCAAGTCGTGTTGTTGTGGTGTTGTGATTTTTCAGGCAGACACGAGGGGGGAAGACTGTTCCCGAAGAGGGCACAGCAAAGCACAGAGAAGCAGAGGTAAGAAGGAGGAGATGGTAAAACAGGTCTGGCTGATGGAGAGAGGCCGCCTGACAGAGAGCCGGGAGAGGACTGAGACGCTGGCCTTCCCTGACCCAGATCCACGGCTCCACCCACTCCTGAGCCGCAGCCTGGGAGGAAGCCCCTTCCCCGCAAGTTGCACCCCAGGCCTGGGAGGCAGGTCTCACGCTGCTGGGGCCCTCTCTGGCATCACACCAGGTCCCCTCCCAGAGCCAGGGTTCATGGCTCCCCGAGTTCTGTCTCCGGCTGCCTGGTCACACAGGACAGGGCCTCCCAGGAGTGCGGAGTGCTCCACCAGGAATGCCTCACCTCGACCTTCCTCTTCCCACCCCACCCCACCCAGCCAGCAAGGCTGCACTTAGCCACGTGCCCCTGGTCCCCACCCTTCACTGCCTTCTTTTCTTTACTCCTTTTGCACCTCACACATAGCCACAGAGCTGCTTTCACCTCCACCATATCACCATATGGTCCATTTCTGACCCCCCTCCCCCAATTTTAAATATGGGGAGACTTTGGTTCAGAGGGGGGCAAAGGAAACTAACCAAAGATACATAGCAAGCTGGAACAACAACAAAAAAACCTTTCAGGAAATAATTATGCAAATTGTCATCAGCAAGTGATGTCAGCAAAGAGTAGAGAACTCTGCCAAGATCTCTTCAGAAACACCAAAACCAGCAAAAATTGTCAGTAAACTTTACTAGAACTCTAGAAAATATGCACAAGTTTACAGTCACCATTGGAACACTTGAGGAAGAGAGAGATGACTAAAACCCAGCAGGAGAAATTTGTGGTACTTCAACCTACTCATCCTTCTCCAACCTCCGCCTTGAGGATGGCAGCCTATATCCCTGCTGGGGGTTATTGGGGTCAGAGGGAGCAGAACAGACCTTGATATCAAAGAATTATGGTGGTTTTAAACTGTCTGGGGACTCCCTGAAGGAATAGTGCTAAAAGCTTGTCTTTATTCCCCAAGTAGGAACACCCCCAGTGTGGAGAAGTAGCTATGGAGGGCAGGGGTGGGACAGGGGTCAAAAACATCCAAAGGCAAATGAACTATCCACTGCCTTCTGGGGCGGGAGGCGGGGGTACCAATTGGAGCAAACAATAGCTCCAAAAAAAGAGCTCAAAAAGCCAGAAAGACAGGAAAATGAGATGCTTCAGAGAAAAAGGGCTTTGAAAAGCATATACCGGGGAGTCTAGAAGACCACGTACACACCCAGGATTGGACAAGTGTTCAGAGAAAGTATGAGATGACCATAAGTTCTCACCTCTGACTGACCTCAAGCTCCACGCAGACGGGGAATAAAGGCTAAGGCCGAGTTGTCAGTGACCTGACAGGTCATTAAAGTCACACCCAAACACACATGCACAGCCCAGCTGTAAAGATCAAGATTTCCTAGTTTTGTTCTTTTTTTTTTTTTAGGTCGTTTAGAGACTTCAGTGACCACACACAATACAGAATGTAGTGGCCATAAAAATAGTTCAGAAAAGTCATTAAACAAAATAACAGTTCACAAACAAACAGCAACAACAAACCCTGAGGAGGCAGAGAATCTGACTTCCAGAATTATCACATTGTAATAATCAAAATGTCCAGTTTTCAACAACAACAACAAAATGAGAGTTGCGAAGAAATAATAAAATATGGCCCATTCACAGGAAAAAAAGAAGTTGATAGAAAATTTTCCTGAGGAAGCCCAGACATTGGACTTAATAGACAAAGACTTTAATCAACAGTTTTAAATACGCACAAAGGACTGAAGAAAACCAGAACATCTCACCAAGTAGAGAATATCAGTAAAGAAACAAGAATTATAAAAAGGGACCAAATAGAAACTCTAGAGTTCAAAAGTAACTAACATGAAAAATTCAATAGAGGTGTCGTCAGCAGATTTGAAAAGGCAGAAAGAAAAATCAGCAAACCTGAAGATACTTGGAGATTATCCAGTCTGAGGGGCAGAAAGATAAAAAAAGGATTAAGAAAAATGAGGAGAGACTAAGAAACCTACAAGATACCATCAAGTGGATCAACATATGCACAATGGGAATCCCAGAGGGACAGGAGAGGACGAAAGAATATTTGAAGATATAATGACCCCAAACTCAATGAAAGATATGAAAATCTACACCTCTATAAAGGTCAACAAATCCCAGATAGTATAAACTCAAAAAATCCTCACTGAACACGTTATAATCAACCTATTAAAGACAAGGACAAAAAGAGAACCTTAAAAACAATGAGAGAGAAATGACTCATCATATTCAAAGGATCTTCGATATGATTAGTTGCTAATTTCTCATTAGAAACCATGGAGACCAGAAGGCAGTAGGATAATATACTTAAAATGCAAAAAGGGGAAAAAAAACACATTTCAAACAAGAGTTTTGTATTTGGCAAAAATATCCTTCGAAAGTGAGAAAGAAACTTGAACTTTCCTGGTGCTACAGTGGATAAGAATACACGTGCTGATGCAGGGGACACGGGTCCAATCCCTGGTTCAGGAAGATTCCACATGCTGTGGAACAACTAAGCCCATGGGCCACAATTACTGAGCCTGCACTCTAGAGCCTTAGAGACGTAACTACGGAGGCCATGTGGTGCAACTACTGAAGCCCCAGAACCTAGAACCTGTGCTCTGCGGCAAGGGAAGCCACCGCAGTGAGTTCAGGTACCACAACGAGGAGTAGCCCCCGACCCCATTGCCACAACTAGAGAAAGCCCTCACACAGCAGTGAAGACCCAGCATCATCAAATTAAATAAATAAACAAACCATTTTTTTAAAAGTGAAAGAGAAACTAAGACATTCCCAGATAAACAAAAACTGAGGGAGTTTATAGCTAGTAAACCTGCTCTATAAGAAATGCCAAAAGTAATCGTTCAGGCTAAAATTAAATGGCACTAGACAGCAACTCAGGCCATACAAAGAAATAAAGAATCCAGTAAGGTTACTACAAAGGTAAATATAAAAGCCTGCCTTATTGTTATTTTTGTTTTATAACTCTGCTTTTTTCCTATGTGATTTAAAAGACAAATGCATAAAATAACAAATCTATGTTAATGGGCTCATAGCGTATAGAGATGTAATTTCTGACAGTAACACTATAAAGAGAGAGGGCTGAAACTGTATAGAAGCAGAGTTTTTATATACGACTGAAGCTAAGTTGGTGTTAACCCCCAGTAGCTTATTATTAAATGTAAGGTGTTAATTGTAAACCCCAATAGAAAAAAATCTGTAAACTCCAGAGTAACTGCTAGAGAGAGAGGGAGAAATGAATAAGAAGGGAACCAAAACAGTAGAGTGGGGAAAAAATCAATTAAACACAAATTAGGAACTTGAGATTAGATATAGTAGATATGTACTACTACATATAAAATAGATAACCCAACAAGGACCTACTGTATAATGCAGGGAATTGTACTAAATATTTTATAACTTATAAGGGAAAAGAATCTGAAAAAATATATATGTATGTATGTGTAACTGAAGCACTTTTCTGTGTACCTGAAACTAACACAATATTATAAATCAACTATACTTCAATAAAAAATAAAAGAATTTTAAAAGTCATCATAGAGGAGTTGAGGGGGGGAAGATATGACATAAAGAAAAATCACAAAATGGCAGAAGTAAGTCTTTAAATGGAAATTAATTTAACTCTTGAATTAAAAGGTAGCAGTTGGCATATAGGCTAAAAAAATAAAACATAATCCAACGATATGCTATCATGTCTATAAGAGACTCACTTTCGATCCAAAGACACAAATAGGTTGAAATCGAAAGGATAGAAAAATATATCCATGCAAATAGTAACCAAAAAAGAGCTGGGGTGGCTATACTAATATCTGACAAGATGGACTTTAAATCAGAAACTGTTACAACAGACAAAGAAAAACATTTTATTTTAATAAAAGACTTAATCCAACTGTTACCAACAGTCCACAAAGTTATCTTCAAACTTCACTCTGATCTATGAATCTGGGCA